CACAACCTGTAAGATAAAGAATATTGAGGTCAGCAGACGAATAATTATCAGGGAGTGAAACAGAGGCTTCGAGAATCAATTTTTGGGGGTCTTGTGGGTCAGGTACGATGATAAAAGCGGCCTCTCCTTGATCTGGGATCAAATCCTCGAGTGGGGAAAATCCTGGATCCGGGGACGAGAGCCACGGGGAATAGTAGCAATTGTGGTGACCTTGCCAGTGTTTGGATCTCGAATGGTGATTGTCTGGTTCTCGTCGGCATAATTTCGGATGATGCTTTCCGTCAGGACATCGAAGGGACGTCCCAGGAGGATGTCGTAAGCAGGATTTCGTACAACATGAACCTGCAAATAGAGGGTGATATCCCCAAACGCAAAGGGGACGTTCCGTGCGAGGCCAAGAGAGGGGGAGATCGATCCGTTTGCTGACTGCATTCGGAGAACAACCGTGGGGTCATAGGACGAGCCAAGCTGGTGGCAGACCGCCTCAGACATCGCGATGATTTGAGAACCGCCGTCAATGATGGATTCAACCCTGAGCCGGTTGTCAACCACGGGAAGGACGGAACGGATTGCCGAAGACTCTAGTGAGACAACCAGGTCGTCGATGGACGCGCCGGAATGAACCAACGTTTCGTAATAGTCCGGAATGATGACGGCGCCAGGTGGAAGGGTCGAATTCATGTATCCAGCAGGCATTGAGTCGAAAAATGCAGCATTTCGTGCATCACTGCGCTTCTGCTCGTCCAGAGTCTCGATGTAAGCGTCTGGCGGCAGGGGATCAACGGTATATTGCTCATAAATGTTCGTCGAGACCGGCGGGGCCGCGCTTTTACCATCAGCAGCCGGAGGAACTCGACGGCTACTGGTAGCATCGCGCATGCGGGAGCGCACCTCGGGGGAAATGGACATCAACTCCTGGACTGAGTTCTCGATTTTCGTGTCCATTATGCGCCCAAATACAGCGTCGGCGTGTTTTTCGTCATAAACCGGGGCTGAGGAACGATAGGCCGGTTCGTTTTTCTTGGCTACTGGGGCCGGAACCCGTGCGCCAAAATTGCGGTCCTGTGGTGGCGCATAAGCGGCGTCTCTTGCGCGTGCATATGGATGCTCGGGCACGGCATTGGTCGGAGAAATAGCGGGCGCAGGGGCCGGAGCTGAAACCGGGGCACGGGCCGGTGTAACGACAGCAGGGGCTGGAATACGAGCTGGGGGCGGTGTCGAGCGAATAGCCTGTTCAGGAGCTTCGACCGGATCCCCAGATCGACTGCCAGCTTCGATTGCCGCACGGGCTTGTTGTCGGGTACTGACAGCCCATATTTCGCGTTCTAGCTGCTCCAAACGTTCAGAATCCGTCAGAGAAAACGTGGAAACAATGGGACTATGTTTATTGGACGAAAGAAAATTCGTTGAGACGTCCTGGTAGTTCGTAGCAGCTATTTGTCCAGGGTTCTGCCGGTGCCATTCGTCAAATCGAGCGCGTAAATTGACTCCTGCGACACGGCGTGGGATGTAGGCGCCGCTAGGGAGGACAACTTGTCCTTCAATATTACGTTTGCACTTGCCTGTGCGTATGTCATCCTCGACACGCGGGCAGCGCGCAATAAAATGGCCAGCTTCACTGCAATATGAGCAGTTCGAGTCGCGTGGAGGTGCAGGGTATGAGGGCAACGGCGTGGTAGATGAAACGGTGGGCGCAGGGCCCAAGCGAGCGGCGTTCTGCGCAACGAGAAGCTTGAGGATTTCGCCCAAAATGGCCGAATTCGGGTCGGCTTCGGACTTGACAGTGGCCGGGGGCGAGGCGGCTGAAGGCGCCGTGCTCTGAAACGAAAATGAGCCCGTGGAATCGGCCAAAACAAATTCCACGGCTTCATTCATATCACCGAGTTCATATGGGTCTTCAGGATGAACATCAGGCTTCTTGATTTGTAGCCGCTGGTGCACACGGTTCCAAAGGGAGGCGGGGGCGATTGCAGTTCGAAACGCACGGGACTGCTCAACCGGAGACAGCCGTTGCTTTAGTAAGAGGTATTTCGAAATGACCAGGAAAAGGCGGTAGAATTCGCTATATTCAGCGCGTGAGTGAATCCCAGAGCTGGCGTATTTGCCAATGAGCGCGTGGAGGTCTGAGGTAGCATATTTGCGGTCAGAATCCGTGCCAGGATAAAGCTTCAAGACTTCTGCTTTCCATGCGTCGTAGTTGTGGGGCGCCGAAAACGAGTCTAGGGACTCCCAAAGTTCGGCTTCGTCAAAAGGGAGGAACCGTAGAGCGTGGCGCTTCCGTTCTTGAGCATCCGCAATGCCGGCAAGCCCAAAATGGTATTCCAGGTCCGTGAAAAATCGAGGAAGCTCACGGGGCTTTGATGGGTCGAATTCAGGTGCTCCTCGGGCACCACGGGCGGGCATGGGCACAACACCTGCCATGTTCTGGTTCGGAGGTGGTGGAGGCGGTGGAGGTGACGGAGAGGGTGATACGGGACGGAGAATGAAAGACGGTGATGAGGACTGCGACGAGGACGAGGAATCGGTAAGGGAGTCGATGGTGGGCAGGTTAGAATCTGATGACTCCAAGTTGTAGGGATGAGGGAGTTCGTGAGGAACAGGAACCAGTAAGTCCTCTGAGGACGAATCAGTGATGCGCTGCGTCTGAGAGATTGAGAGGGTTCTGGGAAATAGCCCTGAACTCTAGACGAAGATTTCGAGGTTCAGAAGGGCGGAGGGCGCGGTTAGAGCCTGAATCAATGTTGTAATTGGAACAAATCCCGCCAGGGGTTCCAAAATGACACGCCTACGGAGCGTATGAGCGCGCAGCTGTACGGGGAGAGACAGGGGGCTAGTCGGAGGTGGTGGGGAGGGAGCTGCGGCTCGAGCTCGCGCAGTATAGTGTGTGGGATTCTGATCCTAACAAGGTCAGGCTCGGGGAAATGGGCTTAAAATGGGACGATAATGACGACGGAGGACAGGACAAGAGGACGATAGAACGACGGGGAGATCAATATGTATGTCTGTAGCACGAAATGGGGGTTTGGGGGCAATGTTGGGAAAATAATGCAGAAGCAGGCGCCGAGAAAGCGAGATAGAAAGTACTGGGAAGTCACTTTAGACTCTAGAGAGTGGGTGAAGAAGATTTCTTGTTTTTCTTGTACTGTACTACAGGTTTTTTATACTAAGTGTGAATCAAATCAGAAGGAGATAAGTAAATTGAACCTCCTGTTGATATGGTGACCATTGAGCTCTATGTCAATTTACTACTTAGTCAGTGCTGAATTTCGCCGAAATGAAAGGAGTTAGAGCCACAAAGAGGGAATGAACTCCGAAATTGGATTCCGGTCCGAAGCTCTTCATCACGTGCCAGATCAATTGAGGCTGCTTTGTCAGCTCAAGCAGCTTGCTACGTCATATTGATGCGGCTTCTGATCAATTGATTGCGGGGCCAGGGTGCATCACTGCTCGTCACTGGACAAGCTCAAACCCACGGCAAGTGACGGGCGGGATTACAACTCTCGTCCGCCACATCACACGGTTCGTTGCTGGGTCGCCGGTTCCACGCGAGTAATCGAATAGCCTTCTCGCGTGCCAAAGAAGAGCTCAACTGCGCAAACAACAACAGCGAACATCGTCGTCGAACCGCGCCACCGTCCGGAAGGAGCCGAGGAGCCGACTTGGGCCAACTCAAACCTTGGGGGACTCACAAATTTCATGGTTTCAAGTCTGAGTCAGAAAAACGTGCCTGCAGCAACGGTTTCATCTCTATTAGAGTTTTTTGCACGCCGTCGTTTTTACTTACTTACTGGTAATGTCGTTCATTATATTGCCCCAACTGTGCGCAGTATTATATTGACTGTTTCACTTGATTAGCTTGAATGCATCCCGATATACCAAGTACATATCAGCATGTCTATGCCGCACTCTAGTTGATCCTAGGTAAAAAAAAACTGCGGTCCGGAGCACTGGCGTCATCTGATAGTCCTGTTCCTGAAGGTGGAAAGTGATGATGACAATCATGATTAGCCCTTGGCAAGAGCCCTCTAATGCACCCCTAGGATGCTTCTGTGACCAGCTAGGAGAAAGCTTTTGTGGTGACCCGTTCCCTCGTGAACTAAGCGAGGGAGATTCTCCATCTGTGTTCGATGCTGGGTCTTGCAGCAGGCAAAGGACTTTGCGTATGGAGCAAATTTTATCCCCCAAAACAGGTACGCCGTCTCCTACTTCAGCTGGACAGGCCCACGGACACATAGGGTGAACATCCTCCGCCAGTCTACCTACTTTTACGTTAAATTTTTCGACATTTTGAGCAACTTTTACTCTATTTTCGGAGGGTTAATTCGAATTTTCTCCCTAAGCCTCTAGGGACTGTATTTAAGCTGTAGGAGCTTTCACCTGACCTATACCACCTCTAGGACGCACAGTATCTGTTCCCGCTACGCGTTTACGAGCCGATGGGACGTCCTTGTAGACTTTTCCGACGCCAATCCATTCCGAGAGATCCAACTCTAGGTCTGTACTCTCGTCACTGTCCGTGACTTCGAGGACAGCTGCCGACACTTCTGTCATGCCCATGTACTTCGGGAACCGGCAGGATGGCGCAGCGCTTGGGAGCCGGGAACGATGGGCAAGAAAAAACGATCAGGCAAGCGATCATTCTGATCATATCGGTTGTTAGATTCTCCGTAGACTTACAAATTCAGTACATTTCCAGCTAAAATTAGTCTTGCTGACGACTGAAAAGACTACATGAGCCCAGATGTCTAAATTCAAGTCAGAAATGCCCAGATCAGGCCGGGTTCTACCCGATTTTACGCTGGTGCAGGGCTCAAATCTTTCAAGATCGGCAGGGATCTAGCCAAGTTTTACGCTATCTCCGGAGGCTTGCTGCCATTTTTGAAGCACTTTTACGCTATTTCCCGGAGGGTTAAAGTCAAAAATTTCGGCCAGATTTACTTTATTTCGGAGGATGTTCACCCTATGTGTCCGTGGGCCTAGCTGGACAATCATACTAGCGATTACTGTCTTGCGTCCGATCACGCGCGGCCGATGGACACGCTTCTCACGTGATCGTTACATGCCGAAATGCCGAGGTCACGTTCTTGTTTACAGGCTTCCCTCAGCTCTTCTGTGTCAGCTCCGACTCTCTCTCGAGTCTACTCAACGACAAAGATGAACGGACTGCCACTTCAGCTGGCCAGCACTGTTTTTCTTACCATCCCCACGGAGATATGATCGGCTAGGCAACATTTCAGCAAGCGTTGCTGATTGCGCCTGCACAATGAATACCCGGCTTTTCCGTTGCATGATTAACTTTTGAGCACGTACTGGGTGAACTCTACTTGTGGTTCGATAGCATCGTTCCTATAAAATGCCAACCCATCCGGGTATGCTGGCTTCCCCATTCAGTGCCACCCTATCCCCCCACCCGGTATGCCCTCCGAGCCCATCGAAGCAGAGCTCGCGTACCCTGCTGCGCTCAGCAGGGCACAGGAGGAGGAATTCCGACAGCTGGAACACGAGGGCCCACTTCCGAGCCAGACCGCGACGAAACTGGGCTCTTCGTCACACAGTCTCGGCGATCTTGAAGCCAATTTCATGCGCGCGGGAAAGCACGTCGTCAAGTTTGAGCCGGGTGCGGGAGAGGATCCAAGAGAATGGAGCTTGGGACGGAAATGGTGTGTCTGCGTGTTTTTTCTGATTTGACTGCACGGCTTATCGTGGCTGAACAGGTATGTGACGATGACAACAGCATTCTGTGAGAGCGCTCCTTGTCTTGCGTTCAAAAACAATAGACCAATCCTGCAGTATGCCTGGCTGTCGCTCTCGGTAGCTCGATCATCACCGGAGAGTGGGTGTTCTCCTCTGAGCGGCCGTTTTGTCACTGACTGGCCCACAGCCTACAGGGACCCGTGGCCGACCTGCATACGACGCAAGAGACCGTGAACCTGTCGGTGACATGTTTTGTGATCGGTTTTGGCGTAGGGTACCAGCCTCCCCATTGCAGTCAACCAACTAGTTGCTTATGCGATCGCAGACCCCTTTTCTTCGCGCCACTTTCGGAGGTCATTGGAAGAACGCCCATCTACGCGATCAGCATGTTCTTCTACTTTATCTTTACAATGCCCAGCGCCCTGGCGCAGAATGCTGCTACGCTCGTCGTCGCGCGACAGCTGGCCGGACTGGCTGCTTCGGCACCCATGTGCAATGTCGGTGGAAGGTGCGTTGTGGGCGGATCTTGGGCGCAGCTCGAATTCTCATGACGTGATAACTCTGTAGCGTGGCCGACGTGTGGGCTGTCGAGGACCGAGGATTACCAATGGCGTTTTTCTCTGCTACGATCTTGTACGTCACATGCATATCTGCCTCGAAGGCAGCGTTCTGACTCCGAGCAGCATGGGTCCTTGTCTAGGTCGGTCTCAATCGAGAAGAATGGACCGCGAAAAAGACTAATTGTCTCAGGACCGCTGGTGGGAGGCTGGATCGGAATGTACGCCGGCTGGCGGTGGATCTGTTCGTGACTTCATTCGCTTCATTGATTTCATTTTCTCAAGTGCCTGGACAAGACTGGGTCCTTTTCATATTCACTGGTCTAACTTTCGCCATGACCCTCTTCATCCCTGAGACATTGTCACCTGTGCTCTTGAGACGTAAGGCTGCGAGGCTCCGCAAGGAAACTGGCGACGACAGTTACCGATCGCTCGGCGAACTGGAGCATATACCCTTCTCCCAGACCCTGGGCACAGCTCTACTTCGTCCAGTGATCATGGTCTTCACTGAGCCAGTGGTGCTCTTCATGTCCTTTTGTGAGTTGATCATCGCTGACGCACGTTCCATGTTCACCGCCTCTCGATAGATCTGTCCTTCGTGTACAGCCTGCTCTGTATGCTCCGTGTTTGTTTCTTGGCGCGCGCACTTCCAGCTGATCCACCCACCATCTAGATCTTTTGTTCTTTGCCTATCCTATCACGTTTGCCGAGATCCGAGGCTTTAGTCCCGGTATGACCGGCGTCACATTCGTCAGCATCATCGTGAGCACGGCCCTTGCATCTGAGTTCTTTCTCTGAGCGTCGGAAGGTCGGAATCTCCATTGCGATGGTATGCATGCCTCAGCAGGAGAAGCTCTACGCGCGCGTCACTGTCTATGGCACATTTCCCGAAGCACGTCTGTATCCCATGATGGTCGGGGCGATGTGCGTGCTCATCTTCGATTGCGTTCGTTCCATGCTCACGAAGCTCAAGCGTCCTGCCCATCGCCTTGTTCATCTTTGCATTCACGGGCGCCTATTCTTGGGTCAACTTTATGGGGCCATGTGTTGCCGGCGCCCTGTTTGGTTTTTCGATGATCCTCATCTACGTGTCGGCCAATTCCTACATCGTCGACTCGTACTCGTCCTACGCAGCCTCCGCCATCGCCGCAAAGACTATCATGCGTTCCCTCATCGGGTCGGCCGTCCCGTTGTACGTCAACCAGATGTTCGCCCACATGGGTTTCCAATGGGCTGGTCTGCTCCTGGCTCTGATATCGCTGCTCATTGGGCCCATACCCTTCGTGTTCTACGTCTATGGATACAGGATTCGTCGGGGCTCTCAAAGGGCTTCGAAGAACAAGCGGATGGAGCAGGGCGAAACAAAACAGTCGGTTCACGACGAAAAGTAGATTTACTGCTTGTGGACGAGACAACTTGGAAATTATGGAAGATTTCTTGGAACCATGAGCATATCCTCGATCCCAGTATGTTTCATTCGCATATTGGCAGATCGATGGACCATCGAATCCGCGGTACTAGTAGTCCATGGGTGAGTATTCGGAGATGTGTCACCTAGTACCTCAACGTAGTATGAACTTCCTTCAAGCCTCTCCGACGATTCTCGGGCAAAACCGCATAGGGCTTGTCCAAGGCCACAGTGCACCTTTCATAGATTGGAACTCGTCTTAGATGTCATCAGTGATCGATGATCCAATCAATCAAAGCCGCGGCGATCACCCGCCCCCAACTGCGCAAGCTTATCGAGCGACGCGAAGGATGTCGCAGTCTTACACCGTCTTATCTTCCGCCAGCCGTCATCAGCCATGGCGATGCAGAAGAGTTGGGTGCCCCGCCTCCTCTACTACCCCCTGACGCTAGCACTCGTGCTCACAAGTCTCCGCCTCGTCTACAAAACGCGTCGAACGACACCTCATAGTCTAATCCCACCGTCTCTGAGGATCCCTGCGCAATGTACAGCTATTCTCGCGCCGATTCTGCCTTCAGATAGCTATCCGACGGACCGCAAGACGTCAGACCGATACGTCCCAGGCACGCGACCGGTACTACTGCGTAATGCGACGCTTTGGACAGGAAGGGACGACGGGCGGGAGATCATTCGCGGCGCGAGCATTCTACTCGATCAGGGTCTCATTGTGGCCGTGCTTCAGGAAATGCCTGATGTTCAGGGTCTGGCGAAGGAGCGCGGACTGGAGAACATCGATGTGGTCGATGTGCAGGGGAAATGGGTTTCACCCGGAATCGTCGATGCACACTCGCATCTCGGTGTCGGGAGCTCGCCGTTCTTATCTGGTGCGCTGTATCTTCTTTTCTTCAACAAATTGGCGCTGAGTGCAATGACCCAAGGCTCGTCGGACGCCAATTCGCGCAAAGCTCCCATCCTTCCTTGGCTGCGTAGCGTCGACGGTCTCAACACGCACGACGACGCGTTCCGGCTGACGATGTCCGGCGGTGTCACGACGGCGCAGGTTGTGCCAGGTAGCGCGAACAACATCGGTGCGTGCTCGCCTCGTGAGAACGACAACATGAAGAAAGCTAAGAGATGCCAGGCGGTCAGGCATTCCTCATGAAATTGCGACCCACAGCAGAACGGTCCACGTCTTCGATGCTCCTCGAACCGCCGGGCAACTTGTATATCAACGATACAAACGCCGATCAGCGACCCCGGTGGCGGCATATGAAGTATGTATGACACGCGGCCCCCGCTCCCAACGCCAGCCTAAGCTCGATCCAGACACGCGTGTGGCGAGAACACACTCCGTGTTCATTCGCAAACCCGCATGGACGCCACATGGGAGTTTCGGCGAGCCTACGACGCGGCGCGTCAGATTCGAGACGCCCAGGACGCCTTCTGCAAGGCTGCTCAGCAAGGCTTGTGGGACGGCGAGTCCGAGTTTCCGGAGAGCCTCCAGTGGGAGTCGCTGGTGGATGTCCTCAGAGGCCGTGTCCGGGTATGTCCACAGCCATTCTCGTCTACCATGCTTCTGAGCTTTGCTGTCCTAGATATCTACCCACTGCTATGAGGTCCGGCGGATCGAATTATTCGTGCATATTCATTGATATCATATAACAGCCAGTGGATCTGGACTCTCTCATGCGGGTCTGTTTCAAATCTTGATCTTGGCCCTGCCATTTGACTTGTCAACCAGCTCACGAACGAGTTCAAGTTTCCGATCGCGTCTATTCATCATGCTACAAGCACGTATCTAGTTCCAGACCTCATCAAAACGGCCTGGGGAGGGCCACCAGCCATTGCGATCTTTGCGTCTGACTACAGGTGATTCAGGGATTCGAAACGGCCCCACCGAACGTGTTGATCGAATGAACAGACCGAAACGCGAGACCTATCGAACATCTGAATTCAATGCCCGCATCCTTTCGGAACACAACCTGTCTGTGGTCATCAAGGTCTGTTCTGCTCGCCCCCTCTTCGTGCCCGACTGATCCCCTCCCAGTCCGATCACGCTGTGACAGACTCGCGTTTCCTGATGTTTGAGGCGCAGCAGGCTCACTATTTCGGACTTGCCACGGCGCTTGCTCTGTCTGCTGTCACTACGAAACCTGCCGCTGCATTGGGGGTGGAATGGAGAGTTGGACTGGTCGCGGAAGGTGCGATTCACTCCTCCTGGCATCCACCCAAATAGACACAAGACAGGTTACGATGCGGATATCGTTGTCTGGGACTCTCACCCACTGGCGATCGGTGCCATTCCGGCTCAGGTCTATATCGATGGGATCCCGCAGATCGAAAAGCCATTCGTGACACCCAAGCCCGCGTCTTTGCAGAATGCGCCGGCCACCCCGAACTGGGACAAAGAGACTAACAACACGCTCGCGTTTGACGGACTCCCGCCTCTCGAGGGTCGCTTGAATCGAGGGCTAGTCAAGTTCGTCGGCGTCAAGAGCTTGTGGACAAGGAGCGTGGAAGGCAACGGCCTGGACCGAAACACCGGCTATGGTGGAAATACAAGCTTCAGTGTGATTGTGGGGAACGGCAAGGTGTTATGCAGCTCGGATTCTGCGTGTGCTCACTTGGATGCTGGCGATATCGAGACTGTCGATCTCGAGGGAGGTTCGCTGTCTCCAGGACTTACGTCGTTCGGAACCAATCTCGGGTTGAGCGAGATTGAGATGGAGCCTTCTACGATGGATGGGGCGGTGTTTGACGAGTTGCGTGGGCCGGTCCCAAGTATTCTGGGACACAGCGTCATTCGCGCAGTCGACGGACTTCAATTTGGGGGTCGGCATGCGCTGTGAATGGTATTTCATTTGGTCTGGGCTACATACTAATGCTATTGACCAGACTTGCCTACCGCGCCGGAGTGACTACCGGGATCTCTGCGCCAATTGGGCGGTTCACTCGGGGCATCGCCGCTGCATTTGATCTGGGTGCTAGCCATGGTTTGGATACCGGCGCTGTAGTCCAAACGGAGACCGCATTGCATGTTGGTGTCAGCTTGAGCTCGCGGCTGAGCGTGAGCACGCAGATTGCGGCGTTGCGATTGGCCTTGTCCGTGGGGGATGGTCCGTGGGTACGCGTCAGGAAGGCAAGTCTCATTGCCGTGTTGGATACGATCAGACCGATTGATTGCCAACAGGGTGAGATCCCTCTCGTAGTAATGGTGCACAACGCGGATATCATGGCCACGCTGCTGATGGTCAAGCACGAGATCGAGGCAACGTCGGGAAGCGCACTCCGCATGACCTTCGCTGGTGCTCTCGAAGCACATCTCCTTGCCAAGGAAATCGCCGAGGCGAACGTTAGCGTCGTCGTATCCCCCGGGAAACCATTTCCGGGCGCATTTGAGATGCGGAGAAGGTCGGTGATTCGCGTTGTTGGTATGTTCGCTACAAGCTAACAACACTCATCAGCATGCCGGGGCCGCCGCTCACCGGGGATTCGTCGTTCACCATCCTCCTCAAACACGGAGTCAACACTGGAATCGGAATCAACCAAGTATACCTCGCTCGCAACGCAAGATTTGACATGTCCATGACCCAGCTGAACTCTGCCGGGATGATTGATCAAGCCGCAGCATTGGCCATGGCATCCATCAATGTAGAACGAGCATTGGGCCTGAATCCGCCTGCGTTTGGAATGGAGGACTTGGTGGCTTATCGAGGCGGGCAAGTATTCGACATGGAGAGTAAGGTTGTGGGCGTCGTTTCTCCGCGTCGTGGAGCCGTGGTTTTGTTCTAGTGCTGTAGCTTACACGTGATCGTGTTCTGCCAGCGTCCATGTCACTGTCAAATCAATCAAATGATGGGACCTTCTTCTGACTGCTCGCATGCATGGCCGTTTGGCTGTTTCTGTTCGGCTGAGGCTTCGAAAATCGAACGAGCTGGCCCCTTCGGACAGAACAGCTTCTCTGAAACCGTCCTAGAAGACAGGATAAGATGTCCGTGAAGTCACCGCGCAGTCCCTAGTCCGTGGAGAGTCAGGTCGGAACAGTGGCGTCCACCAACTCGATCGCGACAACTCGGTTTTTTCGGCTGCAAGAGATCCCACCACACTCCTTTCTAGTTCCCATGCGGACCCCGGCACGAACCCGTCCTGTCTTGGTCAGTCGCTCCCTCCTCCCACCATCTTCTTCTCAAGCCTCTCCATGCACAGTGCTCGACAATGATGGCGACTAGTCCACTCCACGCTCTTTTCCGACGACGCTCCCTTCGTAAACCCGCCTTCGCCTTCGCCCTGTTCATCGTAATCCTCATACTCACACACTTCTTCCGCGACGAGTCCGTGTTTCTCGATGCCGAGCAGACCACCCGGATCGCCTTCCAGCTTGCCAGCCGCCGTGCACGAACCGTGACCAAGACACAAGTGCATTTGAGGACGGAGACGGAGACGATGACCCATTGGGCCGCGCATACCCATACGCAGACACTCACGCAGACGGTAACGCAGCTGGGACATCGCGCGCTGCCGACGGATGTGATTCCCCCCATGCCATTGATGGATGACGACGTGCAGCAGGGTGTCCTCCGCCTCCCTGAGATGCCCGACCTTCCTGGTTTCGGTGCCGGTGTTGATGCGCAAGCGGCACAAATCCAGCATAACCACACCTTCCTCCCCAACGGCATCCTCATCGTCAACCCCCTCGCGCCGCACCCTATTCCCATCCTCATCGATCGAGCCACTCGAGCATGGGAAGCAAAGCTTGCCAATGCGAGCACGTCTTTGCGGGGTGCCGTTGCCGAGTACACCCGGCGCTACGGCCGCGCGCCGCCGCAGGGCTTCGACGTGTGGTGGGGCTACGTCCAGGCGCACGCCGTGCAACTGCCGGATGAGTACGATCAGATCGAGAAGGATTTGGGCGCGTTCTATGGCGTGCGGCCGGACGTCCTGCAGCAGACGCAGAGAGACTGGGAGGCCCACCGGGACTCATACACAATTGGGGTGGACGACGACGGGTGGGAGGAGGAGCTGGAGGAAGACGAGTTGCTCAAGGACAGAGAGCGGACGCGGTTCCGCGTGCTGAATTACACGCTGCCGGCTGACCCGAACGTCCGCCACGAGCTGATGCTCGGCGCGTTCCAGGTTATCGATCTGCTCGAAGAGGTCGAATGGGAGTTGCCAGAGTTCAGAGCCGTGTTCAGCCCTCACGATAGTCCCAATATCGTTTCCGATGTCGGTTCAATGGTTTACATGCGTCGTTGTCGCTGATGGATCTTCTAGTGGGCGTTGCTACAGGAAGCACGAGCCGCAGCGAAGGCCGGCAAGCGTGCGTCGCGCCTCTTGTTGTCTGCGCGCGTTATCTAACCCTTTTTCTGATAGATCTGGACCCAAACCAGCCACCAGCTCACAAACAAGGCTGGGTATCTGCTTGTCCACCCTCGTCACCAGCGCACCTAGCAATGGGCACTGATGAACTGCCACCTCCATTTGAGGGTCATCGACCTAATACCGCCCCTCCCAGTGTCCCCGGCGGGTGCGTACGCTCTTGTTATGCGTTGCTGCGCCATTCTCATCAGCCGTAGTGACCCTCGGACGCGTGATCAACCCAAATCGTTCATTCATTCGCAAAAAGAGACCACGGATCCTTGCCTGCATCCTGCGCTCATGCGAAAGCACGGTGCCTACCTACCCCACGGCGATGGACCTGGCCCATATCCATCTCTGATCCCGCAATTCAGCTACAGTGTCACTCCCCTGCACAGCGACATCCGGACCGCGATGCCTCTGAACTGGGTATGTGCCCACACATTAGCTCATATACCCCGGTGTTCTTACACTTATTTTCGGATCCTAGGTAACCGACGACTTTCCTCCGCAGGCCGATCTGCCCTGGGAACAGAGAACAGACGAACGGTTGCAATGGCGGGGGAGCAACACCGGGATCTGGCACTCTTCCGAAGGCCGATGGAGAGAGTCACATAGGATACGGCTCGCAGCGCTGACGTCGGGAATGGGCGCCCCGAACGTCAGTGTTTTGCTGCCCAGCGACGACTCGGCTGTGGGTGACCCAGTCGATGTGCCCAGATCGCGGTATGTGAATGCGCTGTTTGACGTGGCCTTTACAAACGGGGGGACGCATGGAGGCGAGCGGGGCCGGCCGAGTAACTGCGAACCCGGTCAGTGTGAAGTGCTCGAGAAGATGTTTGAGTGGCGGACTCCGCATAACTTGGAAGCGGCCTCAAAATACAAGTATATCCTCGATGTAAGTTTCTTCCTTATGAGGACTGTCGTTGTGCTGATTATCGCAGGTCGATGGCCACGGCTGGTCTAGCCGTTTCAAGCGTCTGATGAATTCTGGATCGCTCATCTTCAAGGCCACGACGTATCCAGAATGGTGTGTTCCGCTGATCGTCTATCGCCTGGATCTCCCTCTGACATTTTACAGGTTCAGCGACCGAGTGCAGCCATGGGTCCACTTCATCCCCGTTCAAAACTCGTACTCGGACCTCATCGACTCGCTCGTCTTCTTCCGAGGCGATCCCAGCGGCCGGAATGCCCACGACCATCTGGCAAAGAAGATCGCCGCCGCCGGCCAGAAATGGAGCCACGCGTTCTGGAGGAAGGAGGACATGGTCGCCTATATGTATCGGTGCGTCTGGCTCTTCTCTTCCACGAGCATTCCCGTTTAACACGTCTGCAGGCTGCTCCTGGAATACGGGCGTGTCATGAGCAGCGATCGGGAGGCCATGTCTTTCGAAATGTGGGACGATCGAGGAGACGACGAGAGAAGGGAGGCAGCGTTGAGAGCCAGATGGTTGTAAAAGCTTTGTCTTTGTTGTCAGGATTTCTTTACGGGGGAGGCATCCCAGTCGCATTCATAGACTGTATTCCGATCGCGGACTGTCCATTCATGTGGTACACATATGTATAATAATACGCACACTCCTTACAACTAACTACAAGTCGTTCGCCAACACCTAAACCCTGACTTACACCACTCAGAATTGAGTTCGACTTGTGTTCTGTGACGAGTTGAACGAGTCAACTGGGCGTGGTGCCACTCTGAAATCAGACACCTCGCCTTGACAACTTGCCTCCCCTGCCGGTTGCTCGTATGCTTGCCTCATGTTCACCAGAATGCGCGTCGCAACCGCGATGGGAATCGCCACCGCCCATCCTGTGCCCAGGGTCAACAGGTCGTATGGAGCCAGCGCCCAAACCAACACGTTGAATAGGTTGATACCGAAGGCGCTGTAACAAGCACGTAAGCACTCGGCCATTGTGTCGAAAGAGCTGTCTACCATGCGAAATAGATGACTGAGTCCCGGAACATGACCTTGAGAACTCGGATGCCGCTCCAGGACGATTCTTGGTGGCCTGGGAACTGCTCCTTGTGCATGCGCCAGCTTCGGATAACGACTAGACAGAGTAAGGCGAGGTCGAAGGCCATCATGGGACCCCTGACAGATGATCAGCGAGTTTGCTGAAGTCGGCTGGGGCGTGGAAGGGATCAACGCACGGATAGACGAGGAGATACCTCGGCGCCTTCCCGTTGCAAAAGTTCACAGGCTCGATCAGCAGAGGACTTGGGACCGTTTTTATGACAACTGAAATGTCGTCAGTCTCTACAGGTCCAGACTATAAGGCGAAACAACGAACTGTGATCTGTCGACAATTTGATGATGGCGATGAGCAGTTCAGTTGTCAGCGCTGCAGCGAACAAAACCACGAGAGTGTTTCTCAAAGTTTTGTCTGAGTATAGGTTGATCAGGGAATTCGAATTCCGCGGATCCCAGGTGCTTACTGCGACCGTATAGAGCGTGGACTCGGAGTAGCATGATGGCTGCCAACGAAAACTGTCGGTAAGTTTCTTGTCGTAGACCCGCATCTGACCTCACTTTGTGCTCCACCGACACAAACCACGGCTGAATAATAATCAGTCTGACCGCTCGAAGGCTGCAGATGATTAGATAATTCTCACACAAGATCAATCCGACGGCTTGGTGCGCGTAGCCTGAGTCGATTCAGACGTTTTTCGACAAATAACGAACATGAAAATCCGCACACCTGCAGATCGGGGTGGCATCAGCGCTCAGAATTCGGTGGAGTCGAGAACATCACTTACAATGATACAGTAGAAGAGCGGTATATTTGAGCTTGTCCCGAGATAAGTAAACGCCTCGTTGACAAGAAAGTGCGCGCGCTCACAGAATCCCATGAATCCAAGAACGGGAAACGCCAGATATCGATTCTACGGTCAACAGTGTCAGAATTAGGCTTGCATGATATACACAAGGGCAAATTCACGAGGAAAAATATGAGCTTGACAAATGACCAGCTGGCTCCCTATGTCTCAATGAGCAACTATGTCGCGTATTCTGATCAAGATATCTTACCCAGAAATATTGAATCTTCCACGTCATTGAATTGAGCAATCAAGCCTAACTGACTTGGACTGAGTCTCACCTCTTCGGGGAAAGTCAGAACTAGGTCGCCGGATGAGTTCAATGGGAGAGTGGGTCGGAGAAATGAAGACAGTTACTGAAATCAAACGCATAAAATGCTATCGCGCTCACTGCACCGGCAAATTCAGCGAGTAGTCACACTACGAGAGTAGAGAAGGACTGACACAGGGAGTAGTTGGTGATCGAAGTGTGGTTTAAGGCAGTCTCCAATTGCTTGAAGGCTGACAATTCAGCCGAAATTGCTGCAGGGGATGACATCTTGAGAGGTGAGGAGCGCTTTCCACATCTCCGGGAGTCTTTATGGGAGTCTCTGTATGTTGGTCACTGGTCCGCGATCCAGTCCAACTTGTTAGAGCCAAGGTCGCGCCGCTTGCAGTGTTGCATCTGCATCATGATTGAGATGGGGCAATGTTGGGCGCCTACTAGACCCCCAGAAATAGCATATCAAACAAGAGTTTTAGAGAAAGTTCAATCGTATCTCACTGGAGAGCCCATCGACTTGGAGTTCTGGATCTAGTGTTCCAGTGCCTCAAAGTTGTCCGATTGGACGAGATTGAGAACTAACACACATAGCTTCCAATGGAGTCACCAAAAAACGAGTTGGTGATGGATTTGACTGCAAGGCCGCCGCCACTGACACGCACCATGACAGAGAGAATCGAAGACGCGGGCGGGGCTCGATAAGGGCTCGATCGTGAACTCGTGACAAACAAACAGATATTGATCGGATCTGGGTTTCCGACCAGTGCTTTGATTGCAAGAAGCGAGGGGGTTCAGATTTCCCTTGATGCATTGCCGAAGTCCCGCTGCAGATCTGAGCGGGAGAAACACTTGTACAGCTTCAGAGACAGATAAAGGTGTCATGATCTCAGGCTTACCACTCTGAGGTATGTCTTTCCCATGATATTGTCCGGCCCTTCACCAGTATCTATCAAGGATGGGATGTTTGAGATCGCCCAGCGCCAACCATTCCTATCCGAGCTCTCAAATTCCCACTCCCCTGGGAGCGAGAAACTCTGATCCGCGTGAATGATACAGAAGGATTCGTATGGCAGTCCTTGCCAAGTAGACTTGGACGCTTTCGTGTTACAGACGGGAGGCAATCTCGCACTTAGACTCAGAGGGTTTCAAGAAACTACAGGTGCCCTGAAAGCGAATCATACTCGTCTCATGTGAGGTGCTGGATCTGCGATTGAACCGTACACTTACAGGAGCAGGAACACATCTCTCCTCTCTCCATACGCCGCTCCCGAAACCATCTCTGCGGGCCGCTCTGCCGAGGGTACTGCATCGATTGAGTCTCAGTTTCAGCCAAAGGGATGGTCAGAAAGATGCTCGTATCTGCTTTGCGCGAAATCGCAGAGCCGCGTGCCCGGAACTAGTCGTCATCGTATTCAAGAGCCACTTAGCACGAGCTGGGATAGTGAGATATTGAGTCGCCCGAGCGGATTGTGAATGCGTAGAGTCAGAAGCAATGTCCCTGCCGCAGAATTCGGTCCGCCAATGAATATCTTGCATCTTACATTTGGCTTGCTAGTATACGGGGTGGCAGATCGCAGTGCGTGGGCCTACGAGGTCCCTAGAATCAGATAGACACGGGTGATGCATGCAGCAAAAAAGGATGATACTTTCTAGAGACTTGATTCCCGGCGACACACAGTCAAGAAACATCTCTTCTCACGTCAGCACCGCCGACCCGATGATTTGCGATGCCGTATTCCGGGACACTTGTCAGATCTCCCAACCCGGAGAACAAGAGTTCAAATCATCACAAGAATAGCAACCAGTCGGAACTCGAAAACTGTATGTCTGCCCCAGATTTGCTTGGATGGGCGAGAGTCTCGAAATTCGTTGAGTTCACTTGTGGCATGGAGAAACTAAATGAGCCTGGTCCAAACCGGATGTTTTCATCGAGTGCGGAGATCAACTCCAGCAGAAAGGCAAAGTTCATTGCAGATCGAGCAGTGGGCCATTGCACGAAGCGGTGGAAGTGCTCTCTGTTGGTAAAGCGATGGATGCAAGGAGGAAACGATTCATGAGGATAGCGCCTGCTGATTGGTTCGCTGTTCAGATCCATATGGACGAGACACAACGTACGAGTCCTTCAGAGCATGATTCTCAAACATAAGACCCATATGATGAGTCCCGCTCTCACTCAACCTTCTCGCCAGAACGCATCCGGTTGTTCCATCTGGAGTTGCACCGTTCAGTAGAGTTTGGAGAAGCTGGCGAGTGCTAGAGAATTCCGAGAATGAGATAGTGTTTATCTGTGGGCCGACTGACTTCCACATGCGAGAAAGAATTCGCAATGGAAGGCCTAAATGCTTTGAAGGATACGTCCAGGAGGGCGGAGGTCATAAGAGTGCAGCACATCACAGAGGAATGGCCATCGGTGTCTCAATAAACTTGAGTCTCATTGCATATATGGAAGAGCGGGAAGGTCGCACTCGACGGTCCAGACGACAGTCTCAATGAGAGCCTGCAAGCCAAGCTCAAACAAGCGCGTCGCACGTGCCATCAATGCTTGCTGTTGCTAACTCTCTTTCTGCAACTCTCCGGCTACAGTCGCTTGCGCAGTATGAGCCAGTCTCAACTTTCAAGTTACCTTGACTTCGTCCGGATGCAGACCGTCGGCTGCATTGAGTTAGTGTGTCTGTCCCAGAAGGCCCTGAGGCAACACCCGTCCCATACACCTGGACTTACATCAAAGCCTGAATCCATGGTTCTTTCGTCTTCCTGTGTTGTCTCTCCGTTCCACCAGTCTTCGAAAAGCAGAAATCAGCTCCCCACGCGAATCGCACGCGATCTCACCACTTTTCATTGATGCTCCCAACCAGTCTTCGACATGGCGACGAACAGCTCTTCGCGTGTCCCGCAGTACGAGGCGCAACATTCTGATACCGAACTGAATGGAATGCGACATGGCACGCTCGCGATCGCCTCCTGCATTGCGCACAGCATGCGCCGAATCTAGATCTCGTTGCGCATCACGACAGAATATTATGTGCGAGCTTTCACACGCGCAGGTTCCGCGTGGTCCACTGGCGGGAAATCGCAGTCGACGTCATGATCCCATTGAGCGCGGTATCACTTATAGTAGGGCTGAATATCTGGAGTGACTCTTGCCAATCCCTTTTCACTCGTCCTCGATGTCTTGGCAGTCTACGGCGGAGATGGTGACACAGCTTAGGGAGACACGAGGGACGACCCCCCCAGCCCTGGTGGTTCGTCGACCGTGTCTGATAGTCATTATCATCTCTGACCCTTCTGCAGGGAGCCACGACGACTTGCGTGGGCTCGAAAATGTATCTCTACGTGAGTCTGATTTGCCTTGCAGCTGGGGTTTCGCAGGTTGACGCGCATCAAGGGAGGTTCCCGTCCAAGCGACGGTGTTTCTGTCTCGGACTTGTATGTGCTTGATCTGCAGCTTTTCCGATGGGATCAAGTCTTTCCGGTCGAAGGGAGCCCTGTTCCCTCGCCCCGCCACTATCACACAACAGATCTTTGTTGGTCGTTGCTGGGCTCCCGGTACTCGATCCAATGCTTACTATTGATTGGTGCAGGGCAGAACTATCTCGTGGTCTTCGGTGGACAGACTCGCAGCAAAGGATCGAAAGCATCCCAAACTCTCAGCGACGTGCAGCTTTTCGACCTCTCGACACATTCCTGGCTTTTGCCTTCGCGCGCACCTCCTATTATTGCCTTTCCTGCATCCCTCCCTGTCATTCAGCCGCGCTATTCTCATTTAAGCTGTGTGTCAGGTAACCATCTCCTCGTGTTTGGGGGCGAAAACTTTCCAGGACAGCTGTTGGATGATATTTGTGTGTATGATCTGGAGAAGCACGAATGGGTCCGACGGCATACTTATCTTCATTTTGTCCATTCCGGAACGTCGGCCGTGGCGACATCTCGCTGGCACGTAAAAACGTTTAGACAACGTACCCAGGAACTTGCCCACGTTGCACCGCAGCCCGTCCCGCTACCGTATTCGGAACACGCTACTCAGCAGTCTCTGTGCGATATCCATGTCTATCACATGGTGCGTGGACCGCATTCAAAGTGGATACTCCATGACATTTCTCCCAGGGAGAAGTCTCGCGCCCCAGAATCGACGTCCTGTCTCCGTTGACCGACGGGCGTATTCAGGTGCAGGGCACACCACCTGACGCAATTGGCCGACTTCCTCTGTTGCGCTGTCCCAGCAACGCCATTCTTGGAAACAGTCTGATTCTCCTGGGAATTGCGGAGGACAATCGTCTGGTGATTCGTACATTCGATATGGCCACGAAGATCTGGACGGCAGCCGCGCTCGGCCGGACGCTCCAGGACGGGGTCTGGGCGAGAGCCTGCATCTCCCATGCGCAGAGCAAGCTCTACTTCTTTGCCAGCCTCAAATCGGCGGTGGGTCCCCAGCATCCGATTTTCTGGGACACACTGGTCACCGTCGACTTGGAGGCAATCGGAATCTACCAGCCGCCGTCGCACAAGCTCTGTCGCGTGGATCAACTGCGTCGGCTCTTGTCGCTGGAGAGTGGGCAGAACATGGATTTCGCGTTTGTCTGCGAAGATAAGCGCCAGATCCGCTGCTGTAAGCAGCGACTGGCGCAGGCGTGGCCTTGGTTCCGCGAACATTATTCCATGATCAGCGGCGGTCAGCCCAGCAAGATTCATTATGGAAAGCGCACGCAGTTGACACTCACCCTGACGAGCTGCTTTTGGACCCAGTCGTATCCTGTAACCCTGGCCCTGATGCAGTACTTCTATTCTCTCTCGCTGGACACGGCTCTGCAGCGCGCTCCTGCTGTGCTCAGTTATCTGCTGTTGATATCGACCGAGTTTACGATTCCTCACCTGCAGGCGCTGGTCAGACATGCCATGCACATCGAGCTCTCTGAGGCCACGGCCCTTGGGATATATGACGCGGCTGCGTCCTGTAGGTGCCGAAGCTTGCAGATCCGGTATGCCATGTGTGATCCATCCGCTCCGTCACGACTGAATGCGGCAGTGCCTTTACGATGCATAAGAGAAGAAAGGTGCGGCCCGTTCGACACTCTATCTAAGAGGGACTGAGTCTATCTACAGCAGCTCGATAACGTTGCAGATAGATTACCTTCTCAGCGCGAGATTGGCAGAGCACGCTCAAACTCTCAGGGTGCCTGGCGATCCGCCCGTGCGTGGTCCGTGCTTTTCAGTCTCATGTACTGACGGACAGCCTCAAGGAGAGAGCAAGCCTCTACCACGCTCTCCCAGTGCCGGCCCTGGGTCTCCACCCGCCGCCTCAGCCGCACAGTCGCGCAGGAAAGATCACTCCGTGGAATCGCGCATGAGCCACTCCAGCGGCTCCAGGGTGGGCGATCCTCCCAAATTCAGAATCGTCGTTACACCACCGAGTATCCCCAGCAATCTCAAACGGTCACAGTCCCTCGGTTCTCGTCTCCCGCGTCCTGTCTCCAGGCCGAAATTGGGCTTGTCTAGTTCCTCGCCTCGGCACGACTCCGTTGTGAGCGTTATGCAGATGCCCTTGACTCCCAACTCCTTTGCTCGGTCACGTCTAGCCGGTATGGGGATACCTCCAGCAGAGGGACCACGAGAGCAAAGAGGTAGGCGAATGGAGAGGTAGACCGTTGAAGCACGACCGTGAATTCATAACACGATGTGCAAAGTACGCATTCATTAAAGATTCTTGCATGTCTCGGCTTGCAATATGTAATATACAGATGATATGGGATGGGATTTGAGGCAGCAAGGTGAACAGTAAGATGGCAGAGCTGCGTGTCGCGCCGCGTCTCTGAATAAAAACGATGAGCTGTTTGTTGTCTCTTCCGGGGGTCCAAACGCACAGATTTTAGGCTGGGATCATCATCTCGCCCCATGTTCGTATAACCACAATTCCAGCCACGAAGGCCCCGACACCGGTCACCAGGCTGATGTTACCGCTCAGTTTCTCGGGGGCCATGATTTCCGTGCGGATGAAGCGCGAGAAGGCGGACTCGTTAGGGTCATTTTTGGCACGGAGCTGGGACTGGCTCTGGGGAATGTAGGCCGGGCCTGAGTGAGGAGGAGCGCCGCGGAGAGCCATGGAATACAAAGGTCGTGTGGTGGTCTTAGTGGTGGTGATGCAGAAAATGCGTGACGTAGCGGAGTTTGAAATAGTTTGATCGCAAAGAGAAGAGTGTTTTACATTGGTCATTTCATTTATACAGAGGTACATGTACATGTACAATACAACAAAGGGAGCAGAGAGGAGTGATATTGATACATGATACCAGCCTGCTGGTATCTTCGCTCGTCAAGACCTGACTAGAGACCGAGAGCCGACTGGAGCAATTTGACTTGGCTGTCACCCAACGCCTTCAAGGCATTTACGTCGATGCTGCTCCTCTGTACACCGGATGGAACCTGTGAGCCAAATACAATGTCTGAAAACGGACAGGTTAACACGCGGGAAGGAGGCGGCGACGTATAACCTACAGGCAACATCAGCTTCGGGATGACCGTTGTTTCCGTCGATGGTACTGTCAGGGAAACAGCTCCGGCCAACAAGGATGGAAGCCTCGCCAATGACCTCAGGGCTGTCAGCGCTGCAAACATTGTCATGAGCATGAAGCCGCCTGCGGATGAATGGGTCCGTGCTCACTCCTGGTCTCCGTAGATTCCATAGAACATCTTCCCATTGCAGATGATAGCGCCGAGAGCGTTGTTCTTGAGGATGTCCTTGTTCTCCCGGGTGAAGCGCTCAGGCAAAACGAAATACGGAACTTTCGTCGCATCAAGCGCTCCGAAAGACGTCTCGGATTGTCCATCACGGTTTCCCTGCGGAAAGATGAGATGGGGGACACAGCCACTCAGTCGGAAGTACCTTGCAGTTAGCCTTCGGACCGTCACAGTCGATGTCCATGTCCGCCATGAAGTGGAACGCTGAGACACCCGGAAGCGAGATCCAATCGCCGTAGATGCTGGTGATGGTCTTCCGATTCGCTTGTGTAGGGTAGCTGGCGAGAACTTTGCTGTGCGATCCTTTCGTCGCAGCGTAGATTCCTGCGACGTTGATCGACGCATCTGCCTCAAAGTTGGGAGCAGGCGAGTGGACGGGCCGAGCCGGTGAGTAGATGGGCCGAGCCGGCGGATGGTGATGATGAACGGCGCGAGCCTGGATAGAGGTGACAGCCAGAGCGAAGAGTACGAAGAGAGAGCTGAAGAACGACATGTCGGATTCGTAAAGAGGTCGGAAAGTTGAGGGACGTTCAATGCTTCAGAGAGGCGGACCAGGTGGGCTTAAGTACCCTCCAAGGCTGGAGATCGCGACTCATCTCGAACTTCCGCCGTGCGCATTACTTTTCCACTGGCAACAGCCAGAAATCCGGTGCTTCTCGGCAATGACTGGATGACCAACGTACTAACTCAGCGAATGAGCAGCAAGCCCGAGGTTCCGAAGTCCATCGCAACCAGCGAAAACATGGGCTACGGGAAGATGATCCGGTGAAAGTCGGCCTTAGCGCGTCAGGAAGGCGGAATCTGACGCGTGCTTCTTGTTGAGGATGAATAGAACGTGCTGGTACCTTTTGCCACGAGGATATCGAGTTCGAGCTGGCAGAGAATCAGTTAATAAAGCCGAAAATGGACCCCTTCAGGAGAGAGCGGTATACCAGAAGAGAGGTTAGCACATGAGCTCAGGATTAGCCGGAATAAGTATCGGTGGTAGTGTTATGGAGGAGATACGGAGATGGTGGCGGTCGAGAAAGAGGCAAAGGTCGAAAGAGAGATTGAGATCAAACGATCGCGGGCTTCGAGAAGGAGACAGAGATTAAGCCGTTGTGTACGATAGTGTGAGCCGACTGCACAGCGCAGAGCCAAGCTGCGCTCAATTAAACTCGTCTACCGCGACGTGCGGGTAAACTGTCTTCGTCAAGTCAACATCGATCGGGACGGCTTCCACACGGGCTCACTGCACATGCTCACCTGCGCAGACACGAAAAGACCGGGTTCTGCATTCAACGCCGTATGTAGCCATAGCAATGTTCTTCTCGCCGTCGTTCCAGCCCTATAAGGCGATCGAGCATCTCCTCTGAGTGTGTCAGTCGCAGCGCGTTGACCGGAGCGAGAAGGTCTTCGAAGGGCTCATAGAGAAGCAATACACAAGGTGCAAGCCCGCGGATGGAATCTACGCAAACAGGTAAATGCGCACAGAGAGAGAATCCACGGACAAGATCGTGCGATGTAGGAATTCGAGCTGTCACGTGCGAGGCATGCAGCACGCGCTGCGGGGTCGCCGCACCGAGGAGTCCGAGCGTTACTAGCTCGGGCTGCATGCCCCAATGGGTCTCACAGACTGATATCTGCTCTGGGCCATCTAAGAGTTCGAACCATCTCCTCGCGTGCAACTCGGATCCTATCGACAATTCCTAGCTCCGGCGACCGCGAGCCGCGCGGGCGGTCTTCGGACCCAAGCAAGTCAAGTTAGGCATCCACGACGTTTCGAGCCCGTTCGCACAATCGGCCTGAGTCATTGAGTGCTGATACTCGGGGGCACGTTCCTACACGAACAGCTGGGCTTCAAGGCCTAGAAGTGCCGAATCGGGATGATACTCAGTTGTCCACGCGTCCCAGGCCAGTCTACTCCCTGTTAGCATGTCAAAACTGCTGACTGGAGGCTTCCGGCGCCTAGTATCACAAGATGCTATCCGGGAAAGTTTAATCCGGTGGCTCTCATCGAGACGCTCCAGAGTTGGGCTAAATCGAGACCCTTCTGCAGCGCCTGCTGCCTGGCTATTCCACGGCACAGATTGCACCGGAGAGCCACTCCTGGTCTGCATTCTCAGCACATGGGCCGTTAGATACTCGTGCAACCGGGGCCGTTTGCCTAAACCGGGCGGAAAGAAGATTGAGAATGATGAGATCAGTTTCGTCGGGACGATCCGGACTTCGGGCGTTATCTATCCACCGGACTGAAGACTGAATGTTGGAATCTAGACCATACGTGGTCGGGGACTTGCATAAGGCCAATTTCTTCAGGTACATCTTGTTACATTTGGATGTTTGTTTCTACAGGGTACATATATTTATTTATTATAGCCAACTACCAAAACGGAGAAGCAGGCGCAGAGCCATAGTTCTTCATCTGGCCTTTTCTAGGGCTGGGTCGCAGGGGGATGTATTCATCGCCAGTGTCCTCGACTGTATCATCGGGCTCGAAACTTCCGTTGACCATGAAATCCTCCCCGAGCTCTAAATCCTCGTGGGCCCATTGCACGAGCTTTCCTTGGCCGGTGCGGCGCAAGGAGTGAGGTATTGTGATGGAAGGAATTTCGAAGACGCGTAAGCGGTCGATGAGCGGACTGACTCGGTTCTGAATCACAGAAACAGAGATCCCATGCCCGCGATAGGATATTACAGTGCACAAGACAACCACGGCGCTACAAGTTTTCTATTAGAACATAGAGTCGCGGATCATTGGATTCTGCTTACGATATGACAATGAAAGTGAGGACAAGGGAGATCCTGGATACGCGTCGTTGATCAGGGCCTCGGAAATCGTCGGAGTGGTCGTCTGGGTTATCGGGTTCGGACGAATTCTGGGGAAGTTGTGAGTCGCTATCTTCTTCAAACGCATGCAGCAGCGTGCATGAGTGAGGAGTGTGCCAGCTGAACGTATCACATTCCGAGTCCACTCCAGAGTAACGAGGCTGCTTAGAAGCACTGTGAATAAAATGGAGGATATTGCTTGTACGTAATTGTAGTACCTGGGCAACATCTCGAGTTGTGCATTCATAATCGATCCGCGCACAGTACGGACGTTTCCCAGAGATCTTCAATGTGAAATAAGCTAGAGTGTGGTGAGCACCTGCAAGGATGATAACCATGCGTCCCATGACACACCTGGGAACTCCACCAGATCCAGTACATCCGGGACAGCACTGGGCTGGCCAAGTTCAACTCCAGCTGAGCCCGAACCGGCATCGAAGGTGTATTCTGTGCGCTCATCTCCCCATGCGAGGGACCAGCGACGAGTGCCTCCCCTGAGGAGGGAGCACAGATCGTATTTCCGGGACGCCACTTCCACACGGCATGATTTCAGAGGATCGATAGCGAGTGTAGTGCGTCGGAGAGACTCCGCGTTCGCCAGAGAAAGCAGGGGCAGAAACGAGCCCCAGAAAGCGGAATAAATGACTTTCATGGAAGGGATCGATTGGGGGAGGGAAAGCGTTGGCCGCGCATGTTTCTCGCATGTCAGTGTCTCCGGAGGGTCTCGTGATAGAACCTTGATCAGGTGGGGTAAAGGTGGAGTCCAGGCTGTCAACCCAGCCGATCAGAACCGATCCGGTGAATAATTAAAGTTTGACAGAGAGACAGCGCATCAAGGATGTATGATGATTCCGGGCCGCCCACGATGTGGTACTTACTCACGCACGCTTCCAACCGACTTTCTGATTTCTTCCACCGGTTGCAATCGCTCAAGCGGTTTTTTCTTGACTACAGACGTCACTAAATTTCCATTGACTCGGTACAATTTTCCGTGATACTGGACAAGGGCAGCTGTGCTGGACAACAATTGATGTCCGTTCCGTTCAATTTACCATCGTCCTGCAGTGATGGTTGAAGTGTACTGAGCAAAGCCCATAGACTATGCTCACATTGTAAGTGCAATACGGCCATCCGTTGCGTCCCATCATCTTGCTCATGCGCTGTTCGGCATATCTGGACAAGCATCAATCCTAGCCGCGGTAAAATAGAAGCCGGGACACTGGCCCACAGACGACATAGACAGGCTGAATTTCACGCAGTTCGAATATGTAGTTTTGGCCGGTCGTTTTGTCGTGCAGCTTGTTAGGACAGAGTGCACATTTGCGCTGATGCGTATCGACTGCCGCGACGAGAGAGACCAGGAACAGTCCAAGGCAGGCGCGAGCGGAGATCATGCCAGGAGTTTGCTGGCATTGCGAGGTCAACGGGCGAGCGGCACTTTATGGCACTAGCGTCATTGGATTATTCATCTTGAAGGTTATAGATGCGCTCGTTGGCCAAGGGCAGAGAGCGAGTGCATTGGCGAAGGAGTCTAATTCAAATGCTTATTCGAAGTAAGAGTCCTGAAGTCGCGGAACGTGGGCGGCACAGTTGGGCCCGAGGGACAAGTCCTGTCAGGGACTACATCCCAAACGGACTGCATTGACCAGTTTTCATTGAACTGTGGTCCAACATGGTGCTTGGAAACACATTTAACCTGAAGACCGGCCAGAGACTAGAAACGGTCTGTCCGAAAGTTCAGGATCCTGATGCCAAGGTACGACCTTCAGTGCAGATTCGCCGGGTCGAACGGAGACTCGCGAGTCGGGTCTGACGGCTAACATGGGACGAGATCTGACAAGCACCGAGTGGCGCTCGTTACCGACGAACAGAACCTGTGATTGGGGACCCGGAAAGTTGTCTGGCAAGGAGACAGTCGCGGAAGCGAGAGCCCCCTAACCAAACTAGCATAAGTCCATGACGAGACAGGCTCGGACGGAGATGAAATGTGAGTATGTATGTGACAAATTCCGAGCGGTTGTTCTGCTCACTCGTCGACTATCACTGATTCTGATGGATGTGTCAGCCACGAGTTACAGCGCGCCTTCTGCTCTCAGGATACTGTATGGCCCGACGAGTATGTAAGTGGGGTCGCGAGTTTGAAATTGTGCATGGAACCGATGGCCCCAGCCAGTGTCGCCAGGGCTAGACTACCGGACGTTTCCACCGCAGATCTTAAGCACTGCGGAGGCCGGCCCTGATTAATGATTTCTGCCCACGTTCCCAGGGTTGTTCCGGGAGAGTGGTGGAAGACGTAACGACCTCTATCCAGTCCCGCGGTCCCGAAAAAACATTGAGATTCTGTAGCGGCAAGCTCGGTGGCGCTGGCGGATGCGAATGCGCTCGGATGGAGAGACAGCAGGGGCACAGGCTGTTTCGGTCAGAGAAAATCGACAACATCGACGGGCAGAACAGCAGCCGATGTTTGAGTCAGTTTGTGCACGGCGGAGGTCCGGTTAAGCCAGATTGGTTTCGTTACCCTTTACGGCGTCGCAGCAATCCATCGAGCTTCCTCAGCATGGCGTGTCTGACAGAAGCCCACAAAAGCACTGTGCAACTTGTCACCAATCCTCTTCTTCTCCTAAACTAACTTCTCCCTCCCTCGCCGCCGCCGCGCTCCCCCCCTTCTTGATTTCGATGGGTTCCCCTTGGGCCGTCGCCGGTGCTCTTCTAGTGGGCTTGCTCATTTGGCACAAGAAACGACTATCTGCCCGGGGTGCTCTCCCGCCAGGGCCGCGGCCCCTGCCGATCCTAGGTAATATCCTCGACCTTACTCCGAAGGAGCTTTGGTTGGTGGCTACGACCTGGGCGAAAGAGTTTGGTGAGCTCGCCTTGCACACTCAATCGCCCATCTCTCATGGAATCTGCGTACAGGCGATGTCGTCCATGTTCATATATTGGGCCAAGGCCTTGTTTTTGTACGTTTTCTGTCGGTCTCTCGTTCTGCAGACATTGACGGCGCGCGTGCAGTTATCGAGGTAGACGCGTTTTCTCGCCGACTTGGCGCGTTTTCACTCACCGGCTTCCAGTCCCGAAGCGACGATGGATCTGCTGGACAGAAAGGGCTCAATTTACGGCGACAAGCCGACCCTAGTGATGGCGGGCGAGCTGTGCGGATGCGATGACATGGTGCGTATCCCTCGCTCTCTGCTTGCTCCCCCTCGCTGGCGGCTTACGGGATGCTCAAGGTCGCGTTCACGCCTTACGGTGAACAGTCCAAACGACAAAGGCGACTAATGAACCGGGCCCTCGGCATGGCCGCCATTCCTGCCTATCACCCCTTAATCGAAACCGAGACCCACTCCTTCATTCGAAATCTGGTGGCTTCCCCCTTCAAGTACATGGAACACAGTCGCCGCTACGCTGGCTCTCTGACGCTGTCCGTTGTGTACGGCTATGAAGTCGCGGGAACCGACGACAAGTTCTTAACACTCGCCGAGGAATGCGTGGACATTCTGGCAAATAAGATCTCATCCGGCGGCGGAATCGTGCGTTGGCAGTGATTTCTTTGATCATGTGCACTAACCGTCGGTTCCAGTGGCCTGTGTGGGTGACATTAACCTGTGATCCCCCCCTTCTCTCACGCGCGAGCTCATTGACAGCGATATCTTCCCGGCTCTCAAGCACCTGCCCGCTTGGGCACCAGGGTCGGGCTTTCTCGCCAAAGCGGATAAATGGAAGGCGAAGATGACCGAGTGCGCTACAGCCCTGCTTGCTTCTACTGTCTCTAACGCAGGCCGGCCCAGGTTTGTCGAGCAACCTTACGAGTTCGTCAAAACCAGTTTGGTAAGCATTCGTCCAGTGCGGATCAGGAGATATTCATCTCATTCGCGTAGAAATCTGGGCAGTATGCCCCTTCGTTCTGCTCGATGCTGCTGGAAGATGCGAAAACGCCCACGCAGCAATTCGAATTCGATCTCAGATACACGGCGAACTCGATGTATGCGGCCAGCATGGACACTGTAAGCCCCATGATTGACACTTTGAGTGGATTGCTGATGCGCTCACGTTGCAGACCATCACCACTTTCTGTCATTTCTTGCTTGCGATGATGCTTCATCCCGAGGTGCTTGCGCGAGCACAGGAGGAGATTGACCGAGTAGTGGGATCCGATAGACTGCCAACCTTTTCTGACCGTGATTCTTTGCCTTTCGGTATGTTGTCAGACTGATTGGCAGACAAAAGTGCTAATCATGCTTCAGTGGACGCGGTCTTGAATGAAGTCTATCGCTGGGGAGTTCCAGTCCCGCTCAGTCAGTGATCTGCCACGGTTTTGAAGCATAACTTATTTCGTCAGGCCTTCCCCATCGCTTGATGGAAGACGATGTCTATCGGGGAATGTTCATACCCAAAGGGTCACTGGTGCGTTACGTTCTACTCCCAGTCGGGACTAGCACTGACAAAAGTCTCGACTGCACCTAGATCTTGGCCAACGTGTGGTATGATAGAGCGAATTACGCTGTTGCACTTCCGTTGATCACATGTCAGGGCGATTTCTCGGGACGAGGGTCTTTTCCCGAATGCGTCCGCCTTCCTGCCGGAGCGTTACCTGGAGAAGATCGACGATCCCGTCTTGGCTAAACGTCGAGATCCTCGCAGCTTTGTTTTCGTGCGTCCTCTGTTTCGTTCTCAAAGAGCCCGCGCTGACTAATGATGAATCCCATTAGGGATTTGGTCGCAGGTAACATGACTGATCACGCGTGCCACCTATCCCATATTTACCAGCATTCCAGACGTTGTCCCGGGGTCAGCCTGGTCGAGTCTTCGATCTGGATCCTCCTTGCGAACGCGATGGCGACATTAGACATCTCCAAACCCAAGGATGAATTTGGTAATGTTATCGAGCCGAAGGTAGACTTCAACAACTCTGTTTTCAGGTGTGTTTACGGTGGTCTCGCTGCTCGTCTGCTGACATATTTTCTGACACAGGGTACCGGATCACTTCCAATGTGACATCCGACCCCGGTCTGCGCACACACTAAAGGTGTTGCGTCAAACTGAGACTACACATTCGTAAATGCACGCACTGCTGATAGGCACGGCATCTCAACCGACTTGTATATATATATATATATTGCAGCTTAGTCCTGTTCTCCCGCGCTCGCTAGCCTCTCTCTCTCTCTACATCCTGCATTGCAGCAATCGATCAATAAGATTGACGTCACTCCTTTAGTGCTCCCACGTGATCGTGATCATCCCGCTCTGACCTGTACCACGACCACCAGGTTCAACTACCTTCAAGGTTGCAAGTTCAAAAGGGACCTGCAACAGTCTCCGCATTCCATCATCACCCACTTATCTCTCTTCACATTAGCGTCAGGCATAACGCCATGGCTACTTCATTCATAGTCGACACGTGTTGCCGCACACGCCTGAGCCTCGTGGTCTGGGTCCTGGGAATATGCCGATAATCTTCTTCTTTCATGATCCTACTTATCTCACACCTTCTTTCCATAACGGCGCTCTTTATCTGCCAATGAGCAGTAACGCGATACCCTGGCAGCGCGACCCCTGGCCCAAATACTCGTACCCGCTAGATGTGCGCGATTTGACAGTGCCGTGGAACAACGGGCGGCCTGATGAGTCACCGGCTAGGAGCAGCGCAAGATCCGGGGCGACTGAGACGACTCTGGTAGATAAGGGGACGCTGCTTCAAAGTCCGGGAAGGGTGCGCCGGGGATTGAAGAGGTTATTTTCCAGTACGTGTCTGTGTGCTCTTGACTGGTTTCGCCGACTCAATCGTCAGGCAGGCAGGAGTAGGAAAGCGGCCAAGGATGCACCACCTTATCCAGAAAAACCCCAAATTCCCACACCCGACCCTGGCATCTTGCCACTCGATGAGTGGCGACAGTACGCTGCTTGGACACGACCGATGGTAAATGGAGTTCTCGTTCATAACAGCGACAGTAAGTGACTTATTGATCGATGTATACGTTTGTTCACAAGGATCAGCCCCTAGTCCCACCCCGTACCGGGACATTCCACTCGAGCGCGTGAATATCCAGGAAGTGTTCGAGAGCCTGCGTAGTCCAAATGGGACGCATCACCCGGAAAACTGGATCCCTGGACTGCGGCACGTGTCCTTGCCGCGTTCCAAGCCCCCTGGGTGGGAGTTGCCGGCACCCGGTGCTCCGCAGGCCTTCCCTTGGGAATGCACGCTCAATCCGCTGTTGGTGCATTCCCCGGCGGGCGCCGCGCCTCTGCACTGGGACATCCAGCGAGCGCCGAACTATCCGCTTTATGGCGGACCCTGCACCGACGCGATACCAATCTTCGAGCAGGATCTGTGGATGCCGGCGACGCGGCCGCTGGTGACACACATGCACATCACAGGCCTGGCGCTGACCGATGTGCGATTTCCGTGGAAATTCATGGTCATCAATGCTGCTGGGGTGAGGCTTGGGGATGTTCTGAAGGGCGTCGTGCAGAATTTCTCGCAGCATGTATATTCGTGGGAGTTTGATCGTTGGACAGAGGGCAGGAGGGAGAGGGCGCTGGTCGAGTATTATCTGCGGAAGGGCAATGAGTCAGGTGATGGCATCAGGCGCATGGACTATCTCGGCGGGCATGTGTTGTTCAGAGGGATCGCTCCAAATCCGGATCGGACTGGATGGGTACTGTTTATGGGCACACAGTGGTGAGAGGTGTAACGAAATTCAATGTACTTACTATGTATCTTATCTATCTAAATTATTGATTGCATCTTATCTAAAGTTGATTTCGAGATCGTACAGTTACGGCGGAAATTGATTTCCCACCATATTGGGAAGCGAGTGATCCGACACTGTCAGATTGCATCATTTGTCTTCCCACGTGTACACAACATGTCTTTTCAGATACTCTTCACCACATAGCACTCTTGTTACACCACGGAAGCGTGCCTGCAGTAGCCTGTAGTAGAGTAGGTGCTACATAGGTCCACTGCAATACATCTCCCACCCTCCAACTTCCCTTGACGCTCTCAAATGGTCTGCACACCACCCACAACCCTGCATGCTAAACGCGTCTATTCTCCAATCACTTCGACTAAGCACACTCTGGCCCACTACCTCCGCAACCAGTGCAACATGTCATATGCTCAGATCTGCATGCAAACCCCCTTCTGTGTGCAACAAATCCAGCCATGTGCGCTTGCCATCAGTATGAAGAAACTTGCAGAGCACAGTTACAACTACTACGACAATCAGAGAAAGGGAACAGCTGGCTATCCAAGGGTGCTATCAGAGGAACAGGTGGATCAGGCTGTGGAAAAGCTGGAGAGCGGTGATAGGCTGGCTACCAGATGCGCTCTGCACCAGCTCTATAAGGGCGTATTTTTGCGCTTTTACAGAGTTTACTCTCGAACCATTCAGTGTATCGTGTCGCGGTTCACAGTGTTGCGCTCAGTAGGACTTAAGGGTCTACTGCCCAGTCGACAACTGTGGATAGTGTTGACGATAGCAAGGCAGTCAGACCACTACTGTGGAATTGGTCTTATGAGTCTACACCAGGCTCAGGGCTATCAGTGACGGACACTCGGACCGCGACAATTCCACAAAAAGGGATACTTTGTTGCGGCGACTCCTCAAAAGGGTTATTCTCTGCAGATGGGAACTCGGACTGAAGGGCTTAGCAATGTGCAACATTCTCAACATTACAACTACTACTAGACAGGACTTGGCGTTACAAGATTGAACCAATCTTGTCGTGGCAACTCCCGGCTTTGGGTTAGATGTTTCTTTAAGGTCACGCCACAGCAACAACTTGTCACATGTCAGGATCCACTTGATCACGGGATATTGTGGACGCGTCGCGGTGACATTTCCAAGTGTCACGGCGAATCGCGCCCATACCCAAACACACTAAAATTGACACGGGCTAGATCCATGAACCAAACCATGTGAGGCAACAGCTGGTGTGCCTAGGGCCATACAACTTCTTGAGGCACCCACGTTGGACTCACCTGCCAAGACATACCAGTTGGCCAATCTAGCACGTTGTATTTCAAAAGTATGACGCGGTGGGTTGACTCACATCAAAAGTATCATATGGACTATGGGGCGGGGTCCTGATCACTCAGGACCTGTCTGATTGTTCAACTTTTCATTACCCTAAAAGGCAACCAATCTTAGATAGTGTATCTACTATGCAGTTGTACAGGACTTTACTAAGCATCGTTGTAGACAGTATAAGTAGTGCATTGTTTCTTTGTATTGGGGAGCTTTTCCCTGGACTGTGAATCACTCTCATATCAGATTGTTTTGTGCAATTTGCGTGCCGCGTGATTCCACCCTAAGAAGTTCTGCTACCCCTGCCCGGTCGCGACGAGTTGCTCCCTAAGCACTTGTAGCTACTGTGATTTGAGTTTGAGTTTTGAGATATCAGAAAGCCGGATTCGCCGCTTCTGGATTAGTCACGGCATTTAGTGTTGTCGCCTTTGGGCTTTGTTGAGATTGTTTCCACACCTCTAGTTTGGCAGTGCGTTGACTAGTTGTGCTCGGGTTGTTTTGGTCAGTTGGCAGTGTGTTGACTTGAGAACTTTGGTTCCACACTTCTTGCTTGGCAGTGCGTTGACAAGTTGTGCTTGGGTTTTGGACATTTGGATATTGGCTGTTAGTTGGCAGTGCATTGACACGGCATTTTGGTTTTACTAGTTGGCAGTGCGTCGACTCAGTACTTCGGTTGTGTCAGTTGGCAGTGCGTCGACTTGACATTTTGGTTCTACTAGTTGGCAGTGCGTCGACTCAGTATATTGGTTGTATTGGTTGGCAGTGCATCAACTTGATATTTGGGCTTTGCGTCGCCATCTGGACGCTGTTGCTACAAGGGATTTTAATACTTTGTATTAAGCTCTGACTTGTGATATTGTTGGTTGTGATTGGATTAGTGTTGGTTTTGTTCGTATAGAAGATATTGGTTGAGACACCACTGTTTGCTATATATAAATTCTTGTCGTCGACTTTGTCTTCCGCGACTATTGGATCTGTGTCCATTGAGAGTTGTGATACTGGTGTTCTGTTCACCCTGAAGCCCTTGCATCTTTCACACACTGAGAAGCTGATTACGAGGAGTGTGAACGTGTTTATATTTGGGTTTACTTTCATAGTAGATTCACCTGTGAGCGCGCCCTCAGCATTTCATTGTGACGCGACACACTGAATGGTTCAAGAGTAAACTCTGTAAAAGCGCAAAATTACGCCCTTATAGAGCTGGTGCAGAGCGCGTCTGGTAGCCAGCCTATTACCGGGAAACTCTGTTTTGCAGGTTCTCAACTCGGACAAACTCCACAATCTTCCAGACTGGTGTTGTCATCTTCAGTGACGAGAGCAAGGTCATGCTTGGGAGCTCAGATGGTCATTGGTGGTGCTATTGTTGTCATGGTGAGGGTGTCCTCAAGCCGCGTCGGGTTCAGATGGAGGAAAGACATGGTTGAAGAAACTTTAAGATCAATGTTTGGGTGCCATTGGCCCACATGGTGCCAGCTGTCATAGTTCGGCCACTTTTTCATCTTATCATCAACAATCTTATCTTATCTTGGCATGGGTTATCTTATCATGGATCACGGCATCTGACAGTCCAGGCTAAAGGTCCAGGGGATTATCTTTATTGATTCAAGGCTGCACGACATATGCTCTGGAAGGTTCTACTGCAACCCATGACCAGCGCTCCATGCGGTACATAGCTTTATGACTCATTAGTTGTAGATATGACTCAGACTGGATTTGGGTATAAATACTGTAGCTACCTGGTTATATTCTCCAGTCTTTGAATTCACTTCTCTTTTCAACTTTGTTTTTGGGTTGATTGTCACACCAGTGAATTGATTCTTGTTGAGGGAAACCTCAATGCTGATCAGTACTGGGATATCCTTCGGTGGGGTCTCCTCCCTGTTTATGACTACTACTGTTCTGTTCCTCATGTATTCCTCTACTTCTAGCAGGACAACGACCCCAAGCACAATGCTAAGGCCACAAAGGAGTGGCTGAAAGACAATGGCATCAACCTCTTCCCCTAGCCAGCCAAATCCCCTGATCTTTCCATTATTGAGAATGCATGGGCTAAGCTCAAGCGACAGATCTACTTTCACCCTCAATACGCAACCATTAACAATGCTCCAGAGCTCTTTTGCATTGCCTGTAAGATCCAGACATCTCCAGATTTCCAGGACTATGTGATTTGTGTCTACCACTCATTCCCTTGTTGTCTCAAGCTGTTGAAGGAAAATGACTTTCTTTGGATAAAGTACTAGTTCTTAATTACCTACTTTAAGCTTTTTCTTGTTGTGTTGGGTAGAAGAAACCCACGGTGATAGGCTGGCTACCAGACGCGCTCTGCACCCGCTCTGTAAGGGCGTATTTTTGCGCTTTTACAGAGTTTACTCTCGAACCACTCGGTGTATCGTGTCGCGGATGACAGTGTTGCGCTCAGTAGGACTTAAGGGTCTACTGCCCAGTCGACGACTGTGGATAGTGTCGACGATAGCAAGGCAGTCAGACCACTACTGTGGAACTGGTCTTATGAGTCTATACCAGGCTCAGGGCCATTAGTGACGAACGCTTGGACCGCGACCATTCCCCAAAAAGGGATCTGTCGTTGCGTCGACTTCTCAAAAAGGGTCATTCTCTGCAGATGGGAACTTGGGCTGAAAGGCTGAGCAATGTGCGACGTTCTCAATAATACAACTACTACTGGACAGGACTTGGCGTTACGAGATCTAAACCATCTTGTCGCGGCAACTCCCGGTTTTGAGTTGGTTGTTTCCTCAGATCGTGCCACGACGACGACTTGTCACATGTCAGGATCCATTTGATCACGGGACATTGTGGACGCGTCGCGGTGACACTTCCAAGTGTCACGGCGAGTTGCGCCCATACCCAAACACACTAAAATCGACACGGCTAGATCCGTGAACCGAACCATGTGAGGGACGACCGGCGTGCCTAGGGCCATACGGCTTCTTGGGGCGCCCACATTGGTCTCACTTGCCAAGACATACCCGTTGGCCAATCCAGCACGTCGTATTCCAAAAGTATGACGCGGTGGGTTGACTCACATCAAAAGTATCATATGGACTATGGGGCGGGGTCCTGATCACTCAGGACCTGTCTGATTGTTCAACTTTTCATTACCCTAAAAGGCAACCAATCTTAGATAGTGTATCTACTATGCAGTTGTACAGGACTTTACTAAGCATCGTTGTAGACAGTATAAGTAGTGCATTGTTTCTTTGTATTGGGGAGCTTTTCCCTGGACTGTGAATCACTCTCATATCAGATTGTTTTGTGCAATTTGCGTGCCGCGTGATTCCACCCTAAGAAGTTCTGCTACCCCTGCCCGGTCGCGACGAGTTGCTCCCTAAGCACTTGTAGCTACTGTGATTTGAGTTTGAGTTTTGAGATATCAGAAAGCCGGATTCGCCGCTTCTGGATTAGTCACGGCATTTAGTGTTGTCGCCTTTGGGCTTTGTTGAGATTGTTTCCACACCTCTAGTTTGGCAGTGCGTTGACTAGTTGTGCTCGGGTTGTTTTGGTCAGTTGGCAGTGTGTTGACTTGAGAACTTTGGTTCCACACTTCTTGCTTGGCAGTGCGTTGACAAGTTGTGCTTGGGTTTTGGACATTTGGATATTGGCTGTTAGTTGGCAGTGCATTGACACGGCATTTTGGTTTTACTAGTTGGCAGTGCGTCGACTCAGTACTTCGGTTGTGTCAGTTGGCAGTGCGTCGACTTGACATTTTGGTTCTACTAGTTGGCAGTGCGTCGACTCAGTATATTGGTTGTATTGGTTGGCAGTGCATCAACTTGATATTTGGGCTTTGCGTCGCCATCTGGACGCTGTTGCTACAAGGGATTTTAATACTTTGTATTAAGCTCTGACTTGTGATATTGTTGGTTGTGATTGGATTAGTGTTGGTTGTGTTCGTATAGAAGATATTGGTTGAGACACCACTGTTTGCTATATATAAATTCTTGTCGTCGACTTCGTCTTCCGCGACTATTTGATCTGCGTCTATTGAGAGTTGTGATACTGGTGTTCTGTCCACCCCGAAGCCCTCGCATCTTTCACACACTGAGAAGCTGATTACGAGGAGTGTGAACGTGTTTATATTTGGGTTTACTTTCATAGTAGATTCACTTGTGAGCACGCCCTCAGCATTTCAACGGGAGAGCTAAATCTTTGCTCAAGTACTGTACTAACACAACCATAGAGTCAAGGGGGGTAGCTGGTGACATGCGTCAACAAAATGTGTCATCAGTCAAGCCTGCCGGTCACCAGTGATACCCATCAAAGAACCGTCAAGCTGATGGTTACGGGAGCGCATCTGCTGGGCCACAAGTGGTCAACTCTTTGGTGGATCTATCTACTACATTGTACACAATCAGTAGCAAGTAGCTCAAGTGCAATTAAATTCAGTAAAATTTGTCTGAAAAAATGTTTTTTCTTGAATGAAGTGTATCAGTAGTTAAGCCGGCTGGTGACCGGTGACAGAGCCTGAGATGAGTCAAGTCAGAGGTCCTGGTGACCGGTGACTTGACTCTACGGTCATGTTAGTACAGTATACTCATTTGATGTAATGCTGTGCTGGCAGCATTGCAAGCTCACTTGCTTTCCAATATGGTGGGAAATCAATTTCTGCCATGACTGTAATACAGTATACCCTTTCTAATGGAGATTTCACATCTTCTCTGACCACTCTAGCAACTGTTGCAAACTGCAAGCAAAAACAACAAATTATGGATACCCACACTATCAACCAACTCATCAAGACTCTCTCTGCTTTTTTTGCTCTCATTAGCCCTCTACCTTCCCATCACCTTCTATCTTCCCATCACTACAACTGTTGCATGCCTAATGTATAGCACACAACAAGCCAAGGTACAACTTGTGTTTTGGAGCAATTCAAGCACATGTTTGGTGATCCACCAATGTTCATCCACATTTTCTGTGAAGATCAGTATGTCATCAAAATAGACTATCACATGTCCTTTATTGATCAATTCCCACAGGATGTTGTTCATCATGTTCTGGAAGGTTGCCAGGGAGTTTGTGTGGCCAAAGAACATGACTAAGGGTTTGTACAGGCTGTGATTTGTATACAATGCAGTCTTCCATTCTTTGCCCTCTTTAATCAAGACATTGTTGTAACCCCATCAAATGTCCAACTTTGTGAAGAACTTGGCACTACACAGCTTGTGAACCATGTAGAGACGTAAGCACTCTTGTAGTCTAGGAATGGTATAAGTAAACGGAGAAAGAGTTAGATAAGTAAGCGGACACGTACCCTCAGCCAACACCAAGATATGAAAAGAACTGAGAGCACGGTCCTTGCTCTTGCTCCTTATATGTAGAAGCAAGAGCGATCAAATTAGTATTGTAGCACCCAAACCGATTGCCGTTTCCCATCTGACACCTTGACAGATCCTGCCTCAACAAACCAGTTCAGAGATAAGCAGCAGCAGGTACCAGTTTCTGATGGTTGTGACAATCAACCCAAAAACGAAGTCGAAAAGAGAAGTGAATTCGAAGACTGGAGAATACAACCAAGTAGCTACAGTATTTATACCCAAATCCAGTCTGAGTCATATCTACAACTAATGAGTCATAGGGCTATGTACCGCATGGAACGCTGGTCATGGGTCGTAGTAGAACCTTCTGGAACATATGTCGCGCAGCCTCGAATCGATGAAGATAATCCCCGAAACCCCTAGTCCGGACCGTCTGATGCCGTGATCCGTGATAAGATAAGTTGTGCCAAGATAGGATAAGATCGTTGATGATAAGATGAAAAAAGTGGCCGAACTATGACATTACCCCCTCTCTAGGGTCGATGTCCTCATCGACCAGGGCAATGGGTAAGAAGACGTTCTCGTAAGGGTCGAAGAGCTGTCGTTGGGGGTATGGAAGGCGCTCGTCCCTGGGTTGGTAGCGATGAATGAGATAGTCCCAGTGTCCAGCTTCGAGCGTTGGCAGGAGGCGAATGCGTGTGTCTGGATTTGATTGTTTCCTCTGCCAGTCTCTCAGGACGTCCTTTGCGTGGGTAAGGTGACGTGATGGTTCCCAGGTGTTCTCGCTGTGCGGCCATCCCTTCCATTTGACCAAGTACTGTTTTCCTCGGCCGACTTTTCGCTCTTTCACGATTTCTTCGACTTCCCACTCCTCTGCTCCTCCGATCATCTTGGCCACGGGTCTCTTCTCTCGGCGATGGGGGGGTGGTTCGTGATAGGGTGTCAACAGTGACTCGTTGAACACCGGGTGTCTTCGGTCCGTGTCCGGCAAATCCAGCTTCCATGCGGCCGCTCCAACCTTCTCCAGTATCTCGTATGGTCCCAATCTTTTGTCGCTCATCTTCTTTGATGGTCTATCCGTCTCGATATTTTCCCCTTCTATGTACACCTTCATCCCAACCTTCAACTCCGGAACTTCTTTTCTTTGTTTATCGTAGTATTTTTTCATTTTTTCTTTTGCTTTTTCCAATGCTGCTTTTGCTTCGTCTTGTATTTCTTTGATTCTTTTTACAAATTCCTCCGCCGACTCGTTCCTTGATTCCATCCGCTGCTCCACTCCCTTCCATGGGTGATATCCGTGATTAGCATAGAACGGCGACATTTTGGTAGACGTGTTCATTTTGTCGTTGTATGCGAACTCCGCCATTCCCAGCCACTCCGACCAGTCCGTCTGATGGTAGTTGACGTAAATGCGGAGATAGTGTTCGATCTCCTGATTCATACGCTCCGTTTGCCCATCCGTGATGGGGTGATATGCGGTCCCCGGATTCATTTCCACGCCCAACATCCGATTCGTTTCCTTCATAAAGCCCTTGATGTATCGAGAGTCCCTGTCAGTGATGATTTTGCGGGGGACCCCGTGATAGCGGAAGATTCGGTCCCTGGTTAATCGTGCTACTCCTTCGCTGCTGATGTCAGTACTAATTGGTTCGACATGGATCATTTTGGTGAAGGTGTCACACCACACATGAATTGCGTCATACCCGTTACTGACCGGCAGGGGTCCGATCTGATCCATGGAGATGATTTCCCACGGCGCGTTTGGAACTGCATGCGGGTGTAAACTCCCTGTCCTGGCTCTTCTGGTCTTGGTCCGCTGGCACGCTTCGCACGTCTGGATGTATTTCCGAATTTGGTTTCCCATCCTTGGCCACCAGTAGTTCCTTTCCACCATCTCCTGCGTTCGGTTGATCCCGGCGTGTCCGACCAAAGGGGTGTCGTGGTGTAGTCCGATGATTTTGTCCCGCAACTCCTCGTCCCTTGGTACGTAGAGCTTCCCATGGTACGTGATAAGCCCCTCTTCCTTCTTCCATCCGGCGAGTGACTTCTCTAAGGCCGCCTTGACGCTTCCATCAATTGATCGAATGGCCTTGATTTCGTCGATTAGCTGCTGATCCTGTCCCTCGAATGTGACTTCTTGTGATCGGAAGAACTCGGGCTTCAGTAGCGTGACGTCCTTGTTGTCGTTCTTGCCCTGATCGTGATCTGCTCGTCGGGACAGGAGGTCCGCCTTGCGGTTGAGTGCGCCGGGTCGGTGTCGTAAGGTGAAATCGAACTCCGCCAACTCCGTGATCCATCGTGCTTGCCGTCGATTGAGCTTCTGCGGCTTCCGAAAGTACTCGAGATTCTGATGATCGGTGAAGATCTCGAACGTTTCCGTGGCTCCCAGGAGCAACTGCCTCCATTCGTCAAGTGATAACATGATTGCGAGCATCTCCTTGTCGTAGATCTCATAATTTCGCTCGGTTTTGGTTAATGCGTGCGAAATAAATGCGATTGGGCGCCAGATGCTGTCTTGGTTTTGGCTCAAAACTGATCCTGTTGCCCCTTCCGAAGCATCGGCTTCCAGACGATATTGGCCAGTGTCATTTGGCAGTGCTAAGACGGCATCCTCCGCGATTCTCTTCTTTAACCCATCAAACGCCGCATGTTCATCCGGACCCCATGACCATCCTGCTTTCCCTGTCAGCCGCGTCAACGGCTTGGCGACCTCCGCATATCCCCGAACAAAGCGTCGATAGAAGTTGGTGAACCCTAGGAAGGCTTGTACTTGTTTGACGCTCTTTGGTTCTGGCCATTCCATCACGCCCTTGATCTTGACTGGGTCCATCCGCATCGAATTGTGTCCAATAATCACACCCAAATATTCGATTTCCGTGCGTTCGAACTCGCACTTTTCGGGTTTCAGGTACAGCTTGTGTTTTTGGAGCAGTTCGAGTACTCGTTTCGTGATCCGCCGATGTTCGTCCAAGTTCTCTGTGAAGATCAGTATATCATCAAGATAGACTACCACGTGGCCCTCGTTGATCAGTTCTCGGAGTATGTCATTCATCATGTTTTGGAAAGTTGCCGGGGAATTTGTGAGACCAAAGAACATAACCAAGGGCTCGTAAAGTCCGCGGTTTGTGCGAAACGCAGCCTTCCACTCATCGCCCTCTTTGATCCGTACGTTGTTGTATCCCCACCGGATGTCTAGCTTGGTGAAGAACTTGGCGCCACACAGGTTGTGGACCAGTTCGGAAATCAGCGGTAGTGGGTACCGATTTCGGATCGTCATCTCATTCAGCTTCCGGTAATCTTGAACAGGCCGTAGCGAGCCATCCTTCTTCTTGACAAAGAAGAATGCCGATGCCATGGGTGATTTTGATGGCCTGATTCGTCCGCTGGCTAGGTTCTCTTGTAAGAACTCGTCGAGTTTGACCTGCTCGTTTCTCGATAAGGGGTACACCTTGCAGTCCACTGCTTTGGAGCCTGGTTTGAGCTCGATCGCATGATCCCATGCCCGTCGGTCCGGTAGCGAGTCGAATGATTCCTTGGCGAATACTTTGACGAATTCTCGGTATTGATCTGGAATCTTTCCCTCGGTCATTCTCTCCTTCTCCTTTTCCGCTTCTTCTGCGAATTTCTGCGCCGGCGTTTCCTTCAGCCGTAGGTCTACCTCCTTTCCAAAGTCGATCAACAAGATCGATTCTCCCTCTTCCAGATCCGGTGCACCCGCGTCCAGGTCAATTGCATCCATGTCGATCATCGCTTGGTGCTCCTCGTGACCCCTCATTTGACATTGCTCTGGGCATCGGCTGAATCTCATTGTCTGCTCCTGCCAATCCACCTCGGGGTTGTGTTCCGTCAGCCAATCCAGGCCGATGAAGATCCGGGCTTTTCCCAGACACGTCAGAAGGAACGTGCGTGTCTCCACATGAGGGCCAATTTTCATTCTCAAGTCGACGTAGTGTGTGATCCGACCGCTGATGTTCTCGGTGTTGTCGGCGTTACGAGCCACAATGGGTTGCGGAAGCTCTTGGATATCCAGCTTTTCTGCCCGTGCGTAGTCGGTGTCGATGCAGCAGGTACTGCAGCCACTATCGAGCAGCGCCTTGACTCCACGCGTTTTCCCTGAGTCCAGGCCCGTGATCTGGACATATACGTCCATCGAATGCCTCTTTCTTTTGGCTTGGTAACTGCGCAATTCCTGCGCCAATCTGCTGGGCTGGGGGCCCTTCTGTTTTTCGGTCGCCAATTTCCTCTGGATGGCATCTGGCACCCTGGTGCGTTTGGGTGCTTCTGAAACCTCGATTTTGGCAGATTCCTTGGGCGCTTCCTCCTTTTCCAAGGATCGAGCCTTCGGAGCGATGCTCCCCTTTTCGGTCTTTGTTGACGTGGTTCCTTCTCCACGAGCCATAAATACGTAGGAGTCCAAGAATAATTTATCTGCAGCTTTCTGATCCTTTTTATCTTGTAAGTATTTTCTATTTAGAGCTATCTTTTCCTGGCGTTCTTTTTCCATCTCGGCAATAAGAAAATCGTGAATATTTGTACGTAGTGAGTCTGAGATCGTGTATGTAGATGAAATATTGTCCGTATCTTTAATCGAAACAAGTACAGAAAATTGTCCATAGTCCGGACGCTCCACCTCCTTGGCTAGAGGAGTGGAGCGCTTCAAAAACCCTTCTCGCGCAACTTCTCGGCAATCTCCTTCAGGAACTCGTTGTCCTTGTCCCCGTTCTCGATTTCTTCCAGCATTGTGGCCCGATTGAAGAATGTGCGCTTCTTCTTGGGCTCCGGGCAGTTCCGCGCAATGTGCCCGGGCTGCTGACAGTTGTAGCAGATGATATTGCGGCCGCGGGCGTGGGTACGATCGATTTCCATCGGAACCGGTTCGTTGGCAGCGGGTCGGGCCGGAGCGGGTGTGGGCGCCACTGGTGCCGTTTGGGGACGGAACTGGGGAGGTGGTCGTTGTGTGGGGTGCCCATACGACGCTTTGCGCAGCTGGTCACGCAGAGCATTGGCTTCGATGTTGATGCACCAGGCTTTGAACGCTCCATAGGCCTTGGGCAGAGGGACACCGGTGTTGTAGAGACGGCTGGCGATCTCGCTGCTGAGTCCGCGCTCCAGGAACTCGATGAGGATATTATCCTGGTCCCCCTTCTTGTATTCGCCTTTGTCGTCGGTGGTGTCAACCACATTGTAGCCTGCATCCGCGGCCAACATCTCAAAGTCGGAGATGTAGTCCGCGAAGGACCGTTTGTTTTGACGCAGGGCCATAAGCCGAGCAGCGGCGACTTGTTCCGCATTGGAGTCCCCGAACGCCCTCTGAAACTCCTCCAGGAAGTTCTTTGATGTGACTCCTGCCTTCAGTCCCTGGAAGCCATCGAAGTTGTGCTGCTTCCAGTTCATCGCCCATCTCGAGGCAGCGCAGCTCGTGCCGTTCTCGTTACGGAGGTAGGAGAGGACAAAGAGGATTTTGGTCTCATCTTGTGAGAACTCCGATCGATAGGCACCGATGTAAGTGGTGCACGCGTCCACAAAGCCCAGGTATTTGGACTTGTCGCCATCGAAGTAGGGGGGGTTGGCGGCGAGGGTGATGCGGTGATGCCCTGACATGGTAGGGGCAGGCGTGTGAGGTGGAGGCGAGGGTGGTTGTTCGGAGGGCAGTTCGTCGAGGTCGGGGATCTCGTCTTCAGGCGGTGGGAGGGCGAGGTAGGGGTCGGAGGGCCCGGGTTGGTTTTGATGCGCCAGATCGGGCGACGATGGTACGATGGGGGGAGGGGATGGACTCCCAGACGACGATGGGAATCGGTACGAAATGGTGGATTCGTGTGCTGTACAAGCACTCGAGGAAAGGTTCTTTTGCTAGCAAAAAGATCCCGGGCCTAGCTCTTCACGTGCCCGATGATCCCGAGGTGCGTTTTCCCGAAGGTCTCCGCAGCACTCCTTGTAGCTACCGTAAGGCTTGGGTCGGGCTCAACGTTACCCGTGGCCTGGTGCTGTTTGCTTGATATGAACCCTTCACTGCGATAGTGGAGGACGACTAGATGATTCGGTGAAAGGGTGAGTGGGGTGATAAGGGTTAAGAGGATATAGCGGGCGTAGCGGTGCAAGATGCAGGGTAAGAGGTATGAGGTAGGAGGGTATGAGGGGAGTCTTCGAATTATGTGACAATCAACCCAAAAACGAAGTCGAAAAGAGAAGTGAATTCGAAGACTGGAGAATACAACCAAGTAGCTACAGTATTTATACCCAAATCCAGTCTGAGTCATATCTACAACTAATGAGTCATAGGGCTATGTACCGCATGGAACGCTGGTCATGGGTCGTAGTAGAACCTTCTGGAACATATGTCGCGCAGCCTCGAATCGATGAAGATAATCCCCGAAACCCCTAGTCCGGACCGTCTGATGCCGTGATCCGTGATAAGATAAGTTGTGCCAAGATAGGATAAGATCGTTGATGATAAGATGAAAAAAGTGGCCGAACTATGACAATGGTCATCTCATTCAACTTTCAATAATCTGGGACAAGGTGTAGAGTGCCATCTTTTTTTTTTGACAAAGAAGAATGTGGAGGCCATTGGTGACTTTGATGGCCTGATTTGTCTACTAGCCAAATTCTCTTCAAGGGTCTTGTCCAGCTTGACCTACTTGTTTTGTAACAGTAGATATACCTTTCCGCTACCTTGGAACTAGTTTTGAGCTTAATCACATGGTCTCACACACATTGGTCCAGTAGTGAGTCAAATCACTTCTTTGCAGACACCTTGACAAAATCTTGGTGCTGATCCAGAAATTTCCTCTTGGTATAAATATGGTAGCTACTTGGTTGTATTCTCCAGTCTTTGAATTAACTTCTCTTTTTGACATTGTTCCTTGTTGATTGTCACAATTCTCTCCTTTTCTTTTTCTACTTCTTCTGCAAACCTCTGTGCCAGCGTTTCTTTCAGCTACAGATCTACTTCTTTCCCAAAATCAACCAACAGGATTGATTCCTCTTCTTCCAGCTCCAAAGTGCACATGTTCAGATCAAATAAGTCCATATCAATCATGGCCTAGTGTCGAGGGAACCCCCGCTTCTGATCAATCAGCCTGGGATCTAGCATGTGATTGTGCTTGTGTGACCTGTCAGCTGTCACATGCAGTGGCCTGGACCGCTGCACCGAGTGCTTCTCTTTGATGGCAGGTACACTATTGTTTCTATTGTCTCTGTCTGTCATAATTTAATCATTTTTTCATCATTTCATCAACCATCTTATCTTATTGTCATACAGGGTTATCTTATCATCATGGATCATGGCACCGGATAGTCTGGGTTAGGGGTTCAGAGGAGTTATCTGTACATCAAAGCTGCATGACATATGCTCCAGAAGGTTCTACTAGAACCCATGACTAGCGTTTTATATAGTACATAGTCTTATGACTCATTAGTCATAGATATAACTCAGTCTGGACAAGGGTATAAATACTGTAGCTATTATGTTGTATTCTTCAGTCTTGGAATTTACTCCTCTTATCAACTTTGTTTTGAGTTGATTGTCATACAGATAGGCATGCCAATGCATCTGTGGTAATAGTAAAGTAAGCCACTGACTCTTGTTGAATTCATGGTACATTGATTTAATGTGTTCCTCTCAATGTATGTTGTAGACTGAGCCAACCCACTTGCTACCAGAAAGAGTGCAAGACACAGTATAGTAGTAATCACCACCAGCTTTATGCACCTGCAACTTCCTCTTTAGACATTCACTCTCAGCTTTCAGGTGTTTAGGCTTGGTTTTCAGGTACTTGTTTTGAGCACACTTCTCCTTCTTGAGCATTCAGTACAGCTGCTTGGGATTGAATGGCTAGGCATTGTTTACCCTAGGCATATCTACATCATTAATATTCTTCAACTCTGTACTATCCTGTTAATGAATCTCTACCACTGATTGACTTCTCCACCTTGCTACTTTGTGAACTTACTGGTCTTTAGAGGTGTCTTCACCTTGGGCTTGGGTCATTTTGGCTTAGCAGAGAGAGACAAAGTCTTTGCAGCAGCAGCAGCAATGGGTATTGCCTTGATACCAGTGGTGAGCTTTATCTTGGCAGTAGCAACAGATGCACATTTTGGTTGTAGAAGAAGAACCTGAAGTTCTGGCAGCTACTCCTTTGTAAGCTCTTTAGCATCTAATCTGATAACCAGCACAGAGATAAAGACACACTGATTTTTCTTTGGTTGTGCAGAAGCATCTATAGGCAGCTCTAATTCATTGCCAGACGACTCCAGGAAAGCAGAAATGTCTGTAGTGGGTGGAAAGTCAAGTGGGTAGGAGGTCATTAAAGGAAGTAGCAGCAACAACAGTGACGTGCCTGCGGACGGAATAGGCGCGAGCTAACACAAAATGGGGGTCAGCTACGACCTAAAACAGTGCAGGAATAAGTGTGATGTGCGAGGAGGTCCACAAGATTCAGTGCCGTGGCAGGCAGTAAGAAATGATGATTTTAGACGTGGGACGAAGTCGAGGGCGGCGTGGGACGGATGCGACGAAGCAGAGGGTCGAAATACCCAAGTAGAAACGAGCTGAAGACGAGAACTGAACTCAAGACTATGAGGAGAATAAATCTGTTTTTCTTTAGTCCAACTACAAGCTTTTGTATGTGAGACAAAGGAATAATCATCAGAGTGAGTGAAAGATCGACAGGATGGAGCAAGGGACGGTGAACAGAGGAACCAGGGAAGTGAGAGGGGAAAAACAGGTACAGGTGGATGGTGAAGTAAGAAAGGCAGGGGTGTGGAGATAAATGTGCAGACAGCAGTCCAGGGATGTGAATATCAAAAATATATGCAGGGCTGGACAAACCAGTGAATAGCCAGGGCTGAGGAATATTGAGGAGACCCTCAGTTGTGTGCGAAGCGTGCGCCCACTGATTGCTGATTGACATGCACTGCCACACGTCAGGACTTGTCGGATAGATAGGCCAGTCCGTCATCTCCTCCTGACTGAAAAAATGACCGTCCTCGGTCATAGAATAGCGGACAAGTGTCTTGAGGAATAGAAATGTGAAGATAAAGGCTCAGTAGATCATCATAGCCTTAGCTCCTCGGAGCTGCGCAAGACAATGATGAATCAAAGGATGCGACTTGGGGGGAAAGGAATGGGCAGCAAAGTCGAAAGGAGAGGGTGCTCAGCTGTGCAGGTGCATCCTCCTGACTGAAACGCGTTCTCTAACTCTTCTACAACTCTTCACAGCTCTCCTCCTCTTCCTGATCTGTTTCTGGGTCCACCAATGTTGACTGCTCGAGCTCGTGCAGTTTCTCGGTTGAGATATCGAGGAAATCGTCCAGGGGAGGGAGGGGGATCGTTGTGCGTGCAAAATAAGGTATAACACGAAAAGCGGCGATGGGACAATGGAAAACTGAGCCGTCTAGCTCACACAGGATGTAGGCGCCTCCCTTGTTGCGCGAAATGACGACTAATGGGCCCAAATAGCGTTTGCGCATCTTCATATTGAGGGACTTCTCGATGGCCGTGTTCCTCATCAAAACCAGGTCGCCCTGCTTGAAGTTGAAGTCGCAGATCGTGGCGGCGTGCTCGATCTCGAAGCGTGCAGCGTCACGCAGTCGTGCTTGATAAACTCGAGAGTGTAGGGCTTCTAGATCGCTTCGGCGTTTCTGGAGCGCAATGGCGCGTCGTGCAATGAGATCCGTGGTCGAAAGGACGGTTTCGGGCGGCGGGAGCAGGTATGTGGCTTCTGATAAATCGAGGGGAATTAATGGATGCGTTCCAGTGACCGCAAAATAGGGTGAGCAGCCCATGCAACGACGGACAGTGACACGGTGAAATGCTGAGGGCGTGCTCACAAGTGAATCTACTATGAAAGTAAACCCAAATATAAACACGTTCACACTCCTCGTAATCAGCTTCTCAGTGTGTGAAAGATGCAAGGGCTTCGGGGTGGACAGAGCACCAGTATCACAACTCTCAATAGTCGCAGATCCAATAGTCGCGGAGACGGAGTCGACGACAAGAATATATATATATATAGCAAACAATGGTGTCTCAACCAATATCTTCTATACGATCACAACCAACACTAATCCAATCCACAACAACAATATAACAAGTCAGAGCTTAATACGAAGTATTAAGATCCCTTGTAGCGACAGCGTCTAGATGGTGACGCAAAGCCCAAATATCAAGTCGACGCACTGCCAACCGATACAACCAATATACTGAGTCGACGCACTGCCAACTAGTAAAACCAAAATGCCGCGTCGACGCACTGCCAACTAACAGCCAATATCCAATGTCCAAAACCCGAGCACAACTTGTCGACGCACTGCCAAGCAAGAAGTGTGGAACCAAAGTTCTCAAGTCGACGCACTGTCAACTGACCAAAACAACCCGAGCACAACTAGTCGACGCACTGCCAAGCTAGAGGTGTGGAACGATCTCAACAAAGCCCGAAGGCGACGACACTAAATGCCGCGACTAAACCAGATGCGGCGAATCCGACTTTCTGATGTCTCAACTCAAACTCAAATCACAGTAGCTACAAGTGCTCAGGGAGCAACTCGTCGCGACCGGGCAGGGGTAGCAGAACTTCTTAGGGTGGAATCACGCGGCACGCAAATTGTACAAAACAATCTGAAATGAGAGTGATTCACAGTCCGGGGGAAAGCTTCCTAATACAAAGAGACGACGTGCTACTTATACTGTCTACGACGCTGCTTAGTAAAGTCCTGTACAACTGCATAGTAGCTACGCTATCTAAGATCGGTTGCCTTTTAGGGTAATTGAAAAGTTGAACGATCGGACAGGTCCTGAGTGATCAGGACCCCGCCCCATTGTCCATATGATACTTTTGATGTGGGCCAACTCACCGCGTCATACTTTTGGAATACGACGTGCTGGATTGGCCAACGGGTATGTCTTGGCATGTGAGACCAACGTGGGCGCCCCAAGAAGCCGTATGGCTCTAGGCACGCCAATCGTCTCCCACATGGCTCGGTTCACGGATCTAGCCGTATCGATTTTAGTGTGTTTGAGTATGGGCGCGACTCGCCGTGACACTTGGAAGTGTCACTGCGACGCGTCCACAATGTCCCGTGATCGAATGGATCCTGACATGTGACAAGTCGTCGTCGTGGCATGATCTGAGGAAACGTCCAACTCAAAACCGGGAGTTGCCGCGACAAGATGGTTTAAGTCTTGTAACGCCAAGTCCTGTCCAGTAGTAGTTCTATTATTGAGAACGTCGCGCATTGCTCAGCCCTTCAGCCCAAGTTCCCATCTGCAGAGAATGACCCTTTTTGAGAAGTCGACGCAACGACATATCCCTTTTTGGGGAATGGTCGCGGTCCA